GAGGAGGAGGTGGAGGAGGAGGAGGAACCGGCGAAAGACGAGCCGCCCGTCACGGCGGTGGACGACGTCGCCGCCGCGCTCGCGGAGATCAAGATCAAACCCGAGCCCGTGGAGTCCGTCGCCGCGGCGGCGGCTCCGACGGTGAAACCCGAACCCGAGGACGCGGAGGTGAAGCTCGAAGACGCGGGCGTCGCCGTCGCCGTCGCCGTCGCGCCCCACCCGGTGCAGATCAAGGAGGAACCCGTGAGCGACGACGAGAGCGAGCCGGAGATTGTGGACGAGCTCACGCCGCTGGCGTTGCTCCTGAGGGAGTGCGGACAGACGGACGCGGACGTGCTCCCGATGAGAGACGCGATCAAGCGGTTCACGGGCGAAGCCGGGACGGTGAAGAAGATTGGCGAAGGCACGTACGGCGAGGCGTTCAAAGGCGAAGGGATCGTCCTCAAGATTGTTCCCATGGGCGGCGCCGCGCTCATCAACGGCGAGCCGCAGATTGGCCCGGCGCAGATCAAGGCTGAGGCTGCGATCGCGAAGCGGCTCACCGCGTTGAGAGCCGATGGCGACGAAAACGCGAGCGCGTCGACGGCGGCGCCGACGAACTTTACGCAGGGCTTCATCCGCACGGAGGCTGTCGCCGTGTGCCGCGGGCCGTACGCGCCGTCGCTTCTCGACGCGTGGACCGCGTACGACGAATTAAGGACGAGCGAGAACGAGAACCCGGCGAACTTCGACCCGGAACAGCTGTACGTCGTCTTCGCGTGCGACGACGGCGGCGTGGACTTGGAACGCGTGAAGCTCAGGTCGTACGCGGAGGCGAGGTCGACGCTGCTTCAGGTTACCGTCGCGCTCGCGGTGGCGGAGGAAGCGATGCGGTTCGAGCACCGAGATTTGCACTGGGGGAACGTGTTGCTGTCGCGCGCGAACGTGCGCGCGGACGAGCGACGAACCGCGAGGATCAACGGCGTGGACATCACGTACCCGCTGCACGGTCTCGAAGTCAACGTCATCGACTTCACGCTGTCGCGTCTCGATCTGGACAGCCGCGGCGACGTCGCGTTTTGCGACCTCGGTCAGGACCCGGAGCTGTTCGAGGGACCGTCCGGGCACTGCCAGTCGGACACGTACCGTCGCATGCGGAAGGCGACGAAAGGAAGGTGGGAGGAGCACTGCCCGAAGACGAACGCGTTGTGGCTGCATTACCTCGCGGATTGCCTCCTCGCGCAGAAGGAGTTCCCCGCCGCCGCGGAGGAACGCGCGGCGATAAAGGCGTTCAAGAAGAGGGCGTTCGGGTACAAGTCCGCGGCGGAGGCGCTGTGGGACGACATGTTCGTGGGGGTGTTCACGACGTCGCACGCAAACTGTGGGGTCGTCAAGATCAAAGAAGAGCCGCTGTAAATGGGAGGGAACACCACGTGTATGTACACGTGTACGCGCACGGGAGGGAGCGCATCAGTCTGGTCGCGAATGAAATGAAATACGAAAACGCCGCGCGTCATCGTCATGCGGAGCTCTTCCTCCAGTTCCCCCCCCAGTCCCCTATGTCGCCGTCGCTCCCGCGCTCTCTCGTACTATCCCTCGACGTGTCTATTCGCATCCCCGGCAGCGCGGCGGCGACCTCCTCGACGTTCCTCGCGTCCTGTGGCGGCCGGTAGTCGACGTCCCGAAGCCACCGCAGCTCGAGCAGGTCCACCCGCGGGTGCTCGCGGCCCGCGAAGACGCTCGCCCACTGCGCCTCCGGTCGATACTTCTCGTCCACGTTCTCCGCCGCGACCCTCTTCTCTAGCGTCACGAACACCTCCTTCGCGCCGTCCCCCCCCTCGCCCGCGTCGCGAAGCTCCCACTCGTAGTCCCCGTCCTGGCAGAGGACGTCCCCGGAGAGCTCCCCCGCGACGACGATTTCGCCGCCGCACGACACCTCCAACCGCCGCGTCCTCACGACGACGCGCACGTCCCTCGGCGTCGTCCCGTCCGGCGCGGGGACGCGAAGCTCCACCGTCGTCGGGGTCTGGTCCCAACCGTACGTCTCTCCCGGACGCGTCGTCGGTCCGACGCCGCCGCACCCGACGGGGACCTGCGCGGTGCGAACGTTCTCGATCGCGCGCCATCGCGATGCCCCCGATCGGTTCACGCATCGCACGCGAACGTCGAAGCGTCGCTCGGGCTGGAGCCTCGTCACGACGAAGGCGCACGCCTCGCCTCGGTAGAACTCCGCGAACGGCACCCTCGGCTCCGCGGACGACACCTCGAGGACGTACTCGTCCGCGTTGTGCGGCGACGTGCGCTCGCCGGGTCGCCACGAGACGCGGAGCTCGCGAGACCGCGCGACGACGTCGACGGACGCGGGCGGGTTCGGCGGCTTGCCGAATATCGGCGCCAGCAGGGCGCGCTTGAGCCTCGCGAACGCGGAGGGGGGCTTCGGCTTCGGCTCCGCGGGCGGCGGCATCCCCGCCCCGCCGCGCGGCGCGGAGTGTCCGGCGTCGAGCGCTCCCGGGATTTCGTCGCTCTCGGGACGACGCGAGTCGACGCGACCAGACCTGACGACACGCGACGCGCACACGTCAGCGCGCAGGGCAGGGATGTCTCGCGCCACCGCGGCGCGTCCCGCGGTCGCGCGACAGCTCGCGCGCCGCGTCGATGGGCTCGACGGCCGCGCGTCCTGCTCTTCGCGGTCGACGCGCCCCGGGCGGCGGCGTCGCCGCCTCGGCGGCTCCGTCGCGACCGCGCTCATGCGCGCGGAGGCGGAGGACTTCGAGATCCTCCGTTCGCTCGGCACCGTGTCGTACTCGATCGAGCCGACCGGCGTCTCGAACGAGCGCACGCTGTCGTGGAGCGGCGGCGACGACGGCTGCGTCCCGGACTCGTTCTCCGTCTCCGGCGGCTCGATCGCGTCGACGGACGTCGTCATCAAGCTCTACGCCGCGAAGGTGATCGGATGGAGCGCGGATTCCGCGACTGAAGACGCGACGAGCGCGGTCCCGGACGTCCTCCTCAAGGAGTACGTCGACGCGCCCGCCGCGGCGCTCGCGGACGCGGAGGTGGAGGCGTACATGAAGCTGTACGGCGATCCGAACGACAGCACGATCGGCGTGGACGCGAAGGGAACGCCGTACGGCGAGGCGTTCGACCCGGCGTCGTTGCCCGTCGCGCCGCTGATCGCTTATTTTTCCTCCGCCGCCGTCGGCGAAGGCGGCGGGTACGGAACGCCGAAAAGGAGCCTGTGGACCGTGCAGCGATGGGGACGCGGCGGCCTCACCAGGCTCGCGGACTATCCGCGCGCGCGGCAGGAAAAGCGCGACGACGCGCAGCCGTGGTGGCCCCCGATACAGCGCGTCCGCGACGTCGGGTTGGGCCCGCGGCATCGATACGTGCGAAACGCGGCGCGAGGCGCGATCGCCGCCGTCGCGGCGGTGCACCAGCGCGGGGTGGCGCACAACGCGATCGATGCGACCGCGTTCCAGGTGAGCACGACGCGCGACGCCGACGCGGACGAGCTCGAGGTGCGGTTGATGAACTTTGGGTTCGCGTCGGCGTTGACCGAGGCTGGGCGCGTTGCGGACCTCAGGTGCGTTCTATACAAACGTCCTGTTTTTCACCCATCGCCCGGTTTCAACATTTGATCGCGTGGGTCCCTTTCAACTGACCGGTGAACTACATTTGTACGGAACGACCCTCAGAGGCGCGGCGGCGGCGTGCGCGGAGCTGGTGTTCAGCGCGCTGAGCACGCGCGGGAGCGACGGGATCGACGGCGCGACGGACGCGGCGACGCTCGCGAAGTTGTTCGAGCGAGTGTTCGAGTTGGACCCGAAGAGGGCGAGGGAATACTGCGCGGAGGAGCCGAGCTGGGAGCACGCGGTGGAGTTTTTGGATTACAAAGATTCGATGGCGGGCGACGGGTGGACGTGGCTCACGGACATGTGGCGCGCGGGGGACGTCGCGAGCGCGGAGGATTTCCTCGCGCGAGCGGAGGCGGTGGACACGCCGTACGATTAATTCGCGGCTGCTGTCTCGTGACTCGTATTCGTTAGTACAACGTCTGTTCTTTCGTCGTCGGTACTCGTACAACCGCGCGGACTCGTCACTCGGTGGACGACGTCTGGTCGAGTTCCGCGGAGGGTCAGTCCCGCATCGGGTGGATCCCCTCCTCTTTCGCCATCAGCCTCAAACCTTCCATGCGCGTCTCCGCGTTTGGAACGTCGAGCTTCAGATCCTCCACGACCGCGGCCATGCGATCGAACCCGAGCGCCATCTGCGACGCGCTCACCTCCCCGCTGGAGCCCAGCACTTTCAAGAGCCCGAGCAACCGCGGCGCCGTCTCATCCCCGACGACGGCTTCGATGCACAACACGAGCGCCCTCTTCACGAATTCGTGGTGAAAGTACCTCGCGTTGATCGCTCGGAGGCACCGCCGCGCTTCCGCGACGTCCCCGGAGTCGAGGTACTCGGTCAGAAGGTCTTGAATCGCCGTCTTCGCGGCGTCGATCGGGGACTTGGACGAGTCCACGCCGAACCCGCGCAGCACGCGTTCGTGCGCGTGCCGCCCGTCGAGATGCCCGCGCGCGATCCTCAACGTCTCGAACGCGTGCTTCCCCTCCCCTCTCAGACCGGGGAGCAAACCCTCCAGGGTGTGCATGAACGCCGGCGGGAGGATATCGTCCACGGTCGCGCGCGCGATGAACATCGCGAGGTCGCTCGCCGCGGAGGGCACGTCGAGCGCCAAGTCGTCCACGCTCTCGACGAGCCGTTCGAATCCTCTCTGAATCTCCAGGCTCGAGACGTGGTTCGGGTACAGCGCGCTGAGAAGCACCGCGGCGGCTTCTTTCTCCTTCGCGCCGCGGTCCATGGACATCGTCACCAGACGCTTGACGAAGTAGTGCTGAGGGTCGTTCCATACGAGCGAATGTCGGGGTGGAGTTCATAGGCGTCAGTCGGAGTTAAAACGCGTCGAGGGCGGGCGTTGAAAGCGAGGGGTGGGGTGAGAATCGCCGGCAAAAGTCCTTAAGGATCGGCGTTCACCACGCCGACGCGGTCGTATGGTGACCAGTGCATAGAACGCACCTGATACAGCGGCTGCTCGGTGTCGTCCAGCAGCGCCGCCGTCGCGGCGACGTCGCCCGAGTCGAAGTACTCCTTCACGATGGACGCCGTCGACGCCTTGTACGCGACGATGACGTCCGTCCGCGGGAACGCGCGTGGTATCGCCTTCAGTATCGTGTGGTTCGGCTCTTCGCTGCTGTCGTAGTTGGGGTCGTTCGAGTCCAGCGCGAAGACCGGGTTCGCCTCGTCGACGGCGGCGGTTTTGATGGCGCGGTGTCGCTGCTCTTGCTCCGCTTTTTTCACCCTCGACCCGGGTTTATGCGGGTGCGGGTGGTCCCCGTGCCTCGCGTCCGGCGGAAGCGCGCTCGCGATCGGCTCTTCGCCGCCGTTTAGGACCTCGAGCGCGCGCAGGCGCACGGTCTCGTCGAATATCGCGCGCTGTTCCGGGGTGAGGAGCGACATCACTCTGGTCGTTCGTCCGCGTCGGCGATGTCGTCGTCGTTGTCAACCTAGTAGTAGCTACTAGGGTAAGGCGCTGTGTGGATGCGACGCGCGGTGCGGTGCGGCGCGCGTGAGGTTGGCGTTACGCGCCGGTTCAGGTGGAGGGTGTCGTCGTTCTGCGCGAGCGGGGACGCGCGAGGGGGCGGTCAGAAGACTCGGGACGGGGGACGCGCGGCGGACGTGTCGCGACGGCGAGCGCCCCTTTCGCGCGTCGCGCGCTCGCGCTTCCTTTCCTTTCTCCCGCGAAAAAGCGGGCGGGGATGATAGACCCGCGACGCGGGCTCGAGAGGGGAGGGGCCGCGCGCGCACCAGCAGCGCGCGTTCGGAGGGCGGGTGGATCGATGCGCGTCGCGCGTGCGAGGGGATCGCGGCGGGGAAACTCTCGTCGCGGTGCGATCGGCGAGGTCGCCGTGCGCGCGCGGTGACTGCCGGGCGCTGCTGACGGTGCGCCGGGGACGCAGGTCTCGGAAACGAGATCTGAGTTGTTTGTCACGGCACTCACTGTTTTGAGACGGGTGACGTCGACGGGGCTTCGTCGTCAGATCGCCGCGCGCTCCGCCGCCGACGCAACCACGAGCGACCACCCCAACCCGATGTCCGCGTTCGCGGCGTCCATTCGCGCGCACCTCCCGTTCGCCGTCAAGCCCAAGCGCGCCTCCACCACCTCCCGCGCCGCCGCCGCGTCCTCCGCGTCCTCCGGCATGGAGGAAAGCCTCTCGGACGGCTGCAAGGGCGCGCCGGTCGCGGACGGCGTGAAGCTCCCGATCGTGTGCGGCGAGGAGGTCATGTCGCAGAAAGCGCACGGAACCTCCCCGGCGCCGGTGCAGAAGAACCTGAAGTGGGGATGCTCGACGCAGACCGCGGACAAGATCTGCTCCTTCAACCGCCACTACGCCGAGCACGCGGGGTACTGGACGTCGACCAACTTCCTCGCCGAGGTGGACCGTACTACGGAGACGACGTACTACGACTCCGTGACGGGGAAGCCGCTGTTCATCGCGCCGCGAGGGCGGTCGTTCGAGGCGTTCGAGAAGGAGTCGCGGTCGCACGGGTGGCCGTCGTTCAGGGACGAGGAGGTCGTCTGGGAGAACGTTCGATGCCTGAAGGACGGGGAGGCGGTGTCCGTGGACGGGACGCACCTCGGGCACAACCTCCCCGATCGATCGGGGAACCGGTACTGCATCAATCTCGTGTCCGTCGCGGGGAGCCCGGTGGAGTGAGGTGCGTTCTATACACTGGTTCCCATACGACCGCGTTGGCGTGGTGAACGCCGATCCTTAAGGACTTTGCCCGGCGCATCTCTCCGCCCACCCCTCGCTTTCATTCCCCGCCCTCGGCGCCTTTCAACGCCAACTGACGCCTTTCAACCCCGACGTTCGCTTGTATAGAACGACCATGAGACCGAGGCGCGTCGTCGTCGTCGACGCGCCGCGCGACGACAAGACGAGACGGACGGGGGACGATGACGCGTGATGCCGGCTGAGCCGTCTTGAGAACTACCTGTCTATCATACACGCGTCTATCTATGCGTCCGTCGTCGCTGACGACTTAAATGTTACCTACCGATGCTTTTTATCTTCGCCGCCGTCGCCGCCGACCGCCGCGTCCGTCCCGTCCCCCGCCTCTTCCTCGCGCTTCCGTCGGTTCCGATGCCGCCACTTGAGCTCCGCGCGCTTCGTGCGGATCATCTCGCGGACCATCATGCGAAGCACGTTCGCGAGGACGACGAACTGCGTCAGCAGCAGCGGCCCCGACAGCACTGCGCTCGCGAACACGCCTCGCTCGTCGAAGTAATTCTGCCTCGAGAACGACCGCCAGTGCGTCGCGGCGAGGCCGTTGACGCGCTCCGCGAGGAAGATCACGGTCATCGCCGCGATGAAGACGACGGCTTGCGCCTTCTCGGACTCGCGGAGCGCGATCGCGGTCGCGAGAACGCAGAGATGCGTCGCGAGGAGGACGAGGATCCATCGCTCGGTCCAGTCCACCGCGTGCGCGAAGCCGACGGCGTTGTCCCACGCTTGCGCGAACGCGTCCGCGCCGGCGGCGCGCATCTTCGCACCGGCATCGCGCAGGAGGTCCTCCCCGAATTTCAGGAGGTCGTTTTGCTGCCGCAGCAGCCGTTCCATCGCGCCGCGGGAAGTGATGTCGCGCGACTCGTCCTTTTAATGTCGGCGTCGGTTTCGTTAGACATGACACTCGCAGCGCCTCGCCGGCGCCAGAACGAGACGCGCTCAGCCTCCGATGACGAGCGGCGTCGCGGACTCGGTCGAGCACGCCGCGGCCGCGGTCGCCGCGGCCGCGGCGGAGATACGCGTGATCGAGGACGCGCACCGGAGATACTCTCTCCTCGGCCGTCTCGCGGCGTTCGCCTGGCGCCTCCCGTGGCCGCGGCTCGTCTCGCTCTTCGCCACCACCCTCGCGCTCGTCCTCGCCGCGCTGTGGCTCAACCGCGGCGCGATCGCGCGCGCGTTCGACGCGTACGTGACGAGGCACGCGCTGACGAAGCTCCGAGGGATGCTGACGCCCGAGGTGAGCGCGCGGAGGGTCCGCCTGCGTTGGAACACGGTCAGCGTCGAGGGGCTGACGATCGGCAATTCCCCCGCGGCGAATTTCGCGAACGCGCCGTTTCTGATGAAGCTGCAGTGCGCGGTGGTGGAGTGCGACTTGCTCAGCCTGCTCGGCGTGCGCGTCCTCCGAGGGAACTTCGTCGTCGGGTGGCTCACCGCGGCGGTGAAGTTGATCGCGATCCACGGCTTGGTCGTGCACGTGGACGAGGCGCAAGACCCGGACGACGCCGGCGCGTTGTCGAAAATTCGAAACTTCGCCGGCGTGTTTCGAGCGGCGGCGGAGGCGGAGGCGGAGGCGGAGGCGGCGGCGGCGGAGGCGGCGCCAGAGGCGGCGGCGACAGACGAGGAGGCATCAAAAGCGGCGGCGTCCAAGGCGTCCAAAGATGAAGTCTCGTCCCCGCGGGGGTTCTTCAGCGACGTCGGGGAGTCGTTCGCCGCCGCGCAAAAAGCGATCGACGCGAAGCTCGCCGCCGCCGCCGCGGAGGCGATGAACCTCCCCGGGAACATCGCGTCTGGGATCACCGCGGCCGGGACGGAGGTGACGAATAAACTCAGAGCGCTCGTGACGCTGCTCGAGCGCGTGAACGAGCCCGCGCCCGCGGAGACGGAGGAGTCGCGTCTTCGGAACCGACAGCTGACCCTGGACGTGCGTCGCGTGGAATTCATCGACTGCGCGTTTCACATCCCGGCGGTCGCGTCGTCGCCGTTCACGTTTCGAGCGCACATGATCGACGGGTTCAAAGGGACGACGGGGGAGCTCGGCAAGGCGTGCGCGGACAGGCTCTTGAAGCAGATCATCGCGGAGTTTCAGAGAGACGTCTTGGCGACGTTGACGAAGCCAATCGCCGCCGTCGGCGACGGGCTCTTGAGCGTCGGACAAGCCGTCGGCGCCGGAGGAGGGTTACTCGTGGACGGCGTCGTCGGCGGCGCGAACATCGTCGTGGACGGCGTCGGGAAGGGCGCGAACATCGTCGTGGACGGCGTCGGGAAGGGCGCGAACATCGTCGTGGACGGCGTCGGGAAGGGCGCGAACATCGTCGTGGACGGCGTCGTGGACGGCGCGACGGTCGTCACGCGCGGGCTGAAGGAAACCGGGGACGAGATGGCGCAAGAGTTCACCGAGACGAAAGATTCCGTGACGGGGTTCTTCGCGAACCCGCTGCTGAACACGCAGAGCTTGTTCGCGGCGAGGACGTATCTGGTGAAGGAGAAGTACTTGGGGAAGGTGTACGACATCGTGAACGTGGACGACCGCGGCGGGATTGAAATTCGAGCGTTCATGACCGCGCTCGGGGACGACGACCGCGTTTCGAAACTGTTGGAACGAGGCGCGGTCGCCGCCGAGGGCGAAAACGCGGAGAGCGCGCGCGCGGCGATGGCGAAAGCGTTCGCGAAGCTCGAGAAGGACTCCAGGAAGGTCGTCACGAAGCAAGAGTTCGTGAGGTATTTCGTCGACCCGCGAGAGAAACCGAAGCCAACCTGACGGCGGAGGTCGAGAGCGCGCGAGCGAGTATAGCTCGTACGGACAGGATGTTCTTCCGTGCCTTCGTAACAACCGACGTAGTCTAGTATTCATCCCTCCGCTCGCACGTCGTGCGCTCTCTATCGCATCTTAGGTTATCGCACCGTCCGCCTGTTCATCGTTTGATTCCGCGCACGACGAGCAGCTCCTCGCTCGCGACGCGCATGACGAGCGCGAAGTCCGTGGAGCCGTGCCGCTCCCACAGACGGTGCCGCCGCCACTCCTGCGCGGGAAACGCGGGCGAGCCCAACCCGTGCAAAACCCTCGCGACCGCTCTCGCGGACATGATGCCCGCGCCGCCCGCTTTCGCGCCGTGTCGCTCGCTCAGGAGCTCGCGCGCGTCCGCGCGCAGGCTCGTCGGCTCCTCCGTGTTGATCGCTTGGGGCGGCTCCGCGGCGACCGCGGCGGCGGCGGCGGCGCCGTCCGCGTCCGCGCCGCAGCCCGCGCCGCAGCCCGCGCCGAGGTACGCTTCCAACGCGACCCGCAACGACGCGCCCTGCGACGCGTCGTCTTCCGCGTCCGCGGCGCGTTCTAACGCGCCGTACACCGTGTCCAGCTTCGCGACCGCGGACGCCTCGACCGCGGTCAGGTGGTCCACCAGCGCGGCGGATAACGGGCGCAGATCCGTCGGCGGCGCTCGGCGAATCTCGTACCCCACCGCGCGGTCCTCCAATCGATACGCCGCCTGCCCGTTCGCGCTCAGCGCCTGAAGCTGCGCCTGGACTTGCTCGAGCCCGTCTCGCATGTGCCTCGCCGCGGCGGCGACGCTGAATCTGTACTTCCCCTGCCTCGGCTTGCCCCCGATGGCGAGGACCGCGGCGACGAGCGGGCACTGGGACGCGAGCTCGTCCGCGGGCGTGCCGTGGAACGACAGCTCGCACGTCGCTCGTATGTCGGGCAAGACGCGGACGAGACCGTCGTCGCCGTCGCCGCCGTCGTCGTCGTCGTCGTGCACGTCCGCCGCCGCCGCCGTCGTCGCCGCCGCCGCCGCCGTCGCCGCCGCGCAGCGTCGTCTGACCGCGTCGGCGTCCCATAACTCGAGGCAGGACAGCACGGTCTCGATGACCTCCCCGCGCATGTCGAGCTCGCGTTCGAGCTGCTGCACGACCAGCGCGCCGACGACGGAGGGGACGCCGTCGCCGTCGTCGTCGCCGTCGCCGAGACCGGACTCGACGCCGGAGTGCGCGAAGCAGCTCATCGCGCCGGCGACGGGTTTCTTCCCGCCTCGGGCACCGCCCGCGCCCGCGGCGGCGCTCTTCCCTAAGAACACCGTCTCTAGCAGCCTGTGCACCGCGTTCTTGTCGACGCCGTCGGTGAACGATAACGACCGAAGCCGGCAGTAATCGCTCGGGTCGATGAACGAGACGCACCGCGCGGGTAAACCATCCCGCCCCGCGCGTCCCGCCTGCTGGATGTACGCCTCGGGCGACCGCGGGAGGGAGTAATTCACCACCGCTCTGACGTCCGGCTTGTCGAGGCCCATCCCGAACGCGACGGTCGCGACGACGACGCGGACAGATCCGGAGAAGAATTGCGCTTGCGTCCGCGCGCGGTCTCTCGGATCTTGACCGGCGTGGTACGCTTTCGCGCCGACGCCTCTCGTTTGAAGGTACGCCGCGACCGTCTCCGCTTGGTTTTGAAACGCGGTGTACACGATTACGGAGCCCTTCCCGTGCATCGGCTCTCTCTCGAGGAAGTGTAACAGCGTCGCCTCCCTCGAGTTCGACGGAACGCGCATCGCGGAAAGGATCAAGTTTGGACGTATGACGTCGTTCCTGTGCACGCCCTCCCGCGGGATGCGCAGCTGCGCGCGCAGGGATTTCTCCGTGCGCGCCGTCGCCGTCGCGGAGAGCGCGAGCACGGGGCAGTCCGCGCGTAAGCGCGCGCGGAGAATGCGCCCGAGGCGATGATACGCCGGACGAAAGTTGTGCGACCACTCCGACACGCAGTGCGCTTCGTCGACGACGGCGAGCGAGACGCCGCCGGGGACCGTTCTCAGGTCGCTCAAGAAACGCTCGTTCAGAAGCCGTTCCGGCGAGACGAAGAGCACCTTAAACTTTCCCGCCCGGAGTTCGTCCAGGGTGTGAAACAGCGCGTCCAAGGACTGGTCCGATCGCAGCGCCGCGCCGGGGAGCGCCGGCGGCAGCCCCCTCAGCTGATCCGACATCAGCGCGAGCAGCGGCGACACGACGAGCGTGAGCCCCGGGAACAGAAGCGCGGGGAGCTGATACGTCAGCGATTTCCCCGCGCCTGTGGGAAGCAACGCGAGGGAGGAGCCGCCGCGCAGGACGCGTCGGATGACCTCGAGCTGCCCGGGGCGGAAGCTCTCGTGCCCGAACGCCCTCCGCAGGATGTCCGTCAGTGCGTCCTCGGTCGGGTCCCTCAGCGCCGCGGCGCACGCGCTCGCGAGCGCGTCGCTCGGCTTCTCGAGCTTCGCGCGCGCTTCCTCCGCGGCGATTTGCGCCGCGCTCGGTCTCACCGCCGGCGCTTCGATCGCCGCTTTCCTCCCCGCGTTGGCGTCGCGTTCCTTCGCCTTGGCCGCTTTCTCTCTGTCCGCCCAGTCCCCGGCGTGCCACAGCGACTGCCCGCACTCCGTCGGCTCCGGGGCTTGCTTCCGTCGTCCGCGCGTGCCGCCGCCGTATCGCGCGTTCCCGCCGACGCGTTTCTTCGGCGCGCCGTTCTTGACCCCCTTGCTCTTCCACCCTTGCTTCAGGTTCAGTTTCACGAAGTTGCCCTTCCCGCTGCACATCGTCTTCTTCGTCGGCTTTCTCTCCGCGAGGCCCGCGGCGCGCGCGTCCGGGGCTTCGTCCCCGGCGGCGCGCCAGTCCATGGCCTCGGACGGTTTCGCCCTGCTCCCTCCGCTCGGTTTCTTTTTCTTCGCCGCCGCCTCCGCGGCGGCAGCGAGAACCGCGGCGTTGCGAGCGTCCGCGCGCTCTCGTCCGGTCGTCGGTCTCGCCGGCTCCGTCGCCGCGGTCGGAACCGTCAACTTCGCGGCCTTCGCTCTCGGCGCCTTCGGCTTCGGCTTCGGCGCGGCGGCGGCGGCGGCGGCGCGGCGGCGCTTCTTACCCGCCGCGGTCGCGATCTCGAACTCCTCGTCGTCGTCCTCGCCGCTCTCGGCGTAGTCCGAGTCCCCGCCGTCGTCCGAGTCCCCTCCCCTGGTCGCCTTCGACTCTTTCGCCTTGGCGCGTTTCGCCGCGGCGGCCTCCACCCTCTTCGCCGCGGCCGCCGACGCCCTCGCCGCCGCGGCGGCGTAATCGTCCTCGTCGTCGTCCGCCGGCGGCGGCGGCGGCGGCGGCGCGTCCTCCTCCTCCGCCTCCATCGCCGCGAGCATCTCGTCCTCGTCCGGCTCTGCGAGCATCTCGTCCTCGCGCGCCTTCCCTCGCCCTTTCCGCGACGTGTCGTACACCGGCATCGGCGGCGCCTTCTGCTTGGTCTTCTTCACGGGAGGCGCCACCGGCATCACGATCGGCGCCTTCGCGCGCGCGTCCGCGTCCTCGCCGAGAAACGACGACAGCGACTCCGGCGCGCGACTCGCGCCCGCGCCGGTGCGCACCGCGGAGCCGCTCAGCACCGCGCCAGTGTCGCAGAGTAGAGGATCAAACGCCGGGCGGCCGGCGGCGGTCGTCGCGGAGACGCCGCGCGAGGCGGCGATGCGCGCGAACCCGCCGCCGCCGCCGCCGCCGCCTCTGGCGAGTAATCCGGACCCTTGCCGGACTAACGGGGGTAACCCGAGCCCTCGCCCCGAGCCGCGCGCGAGAGGATCCAACGTCGACAGGATCGCCGCCGCTTTCCTGGGCGGCAGCGCGGACACCTTCGACGGGCTCGGTCGCGGCAGCGCCGTCGCCGCGGGGGACGCGGGATGTTTCCTCGGCGACCGACGCGGCGGCGGCGACATCGGCGACGTCGGCGGACGCTGCGGCGCGGACGCGACGGCCGGTCCCCGCGCGGTCGTCGTCTTCACCGGCGTCGCCTCGATCCTTTCGTCGTCGTCGTCGTCGTCGTCGTCGTCGCTGCTGTCCGCGGGCGCGGGCAGCCGCGACGCGAGCGCCGTCGGTTTCCTTCGGTTGGCGTCGCGCAGCGGCGCGGCGGGCGCGGGAGGCTTCTGCGGTCGCGATCTCGGCGAGCTCCGAACCGCGGGCGCGACGGTCTTGTCGCCTCGTCCCGCGGAGGACGGCCTCTTATTTTCCTTCTCGATCGCCGCCTTCAGGCGCTGGTACTCCTTGTACATCTCCCCGACCTCCGGCGTCGTGTCCTCTCTCGTCGGCGGCCGCGCGCGCGATTTCGTGAACGCGTGTTCCCAGGTTTTGATTTTCGCCTTGACGGCGACGAGCCTCGCGGCGAGGCCGCCGCCGCCGGGACCGCCGCCGCCGCCGTCCGACGTGGATGTGCCGCCGCCGCCGCGATCTACTCCCCGAGGAGGAGCCGGCCTCGGGGAGTGCTCCATCGCTTCGCGCGCTTCGAAGAATGGATCTGGTGTGCCTACATTTCGAAAAACTGCGCTCGGGCGGGAAACTTGGGCACCCCCGCCCCGCCTGAAATAAAGCGCCGCTCGCTTCGAGATTCGTCACAACCGCGGGGCAGCCGCCCGGCTTGTCGCGCGTCCCCACGCCGCCCGCCGGGGAGTCGCGCGCTTCGACCGCTCCTCACGAGCTGGCCGGCGTCGGATCCGCTCGTTCCAGGCGCGGCGGGACGCGCGGCGTGCTGCGGCGGGTTCGATTTGATTCGTCCGAGAAGAGGAGCGGCGAACGCGACGAAAAAAACATCCGATGAAGTTCAAAGCGACGTTCTCCTCCGTCGGCGTGCAGTGGCTCGAACGGTTCGCGCCGATATTCGACAAGCTCGGCAAGGAGCTCAGCGTCCTGTTCACCCCGAACTCGATCCACCTCGTGCAGAACCACGCCGAGTCCGGCGGGATCGAGATACACGCGGATCTCTTGAAGGACGAAGTCTTCGACGCGTGCCTGCTGCAGTCCGCGAACGATAACAAGATCGGCGTGCGCCTCGAGCCCGCGTCGCTGTGCCGCGTCCTGCGCGGCCTCGTCGGCTCCGAGGCGACGCACGTCGAGGTCAAGCTCATCAAGCGCGAGGTCGCGCCCGGGACGTCGCTGCCGTTCCTGTGCTTCGACAGCAAGGGCGTCGTGGACGTCGTGCAAGACGTCCCGCTCGCGGGCCCGCTGAATCGCCGCGAGGTGGAGGACCTCGAGACGATCGTCCAGGCCAACGTCGTGGACGTGCCCTACTGGCTGTGCCTCGATCGCGCCGCGACCGAGGCGGCGCACGCGGCCGTGGAGCGGTTCCGAGCCGTGGGGGACGTCGTCGAGCTCGCGACGACGAAGGCGGGGTCACTGCACCTCACGACGAACAAGGGAGGGCACGTCGCGCTCGGCGCGGAGCTCAGGCGCGTTCCGTCCGATGACACCGCTGTGGTCCCCGTACGACCGCTTTCGCGCGGCGCGCGCCGTTCCTTAAGGACTCTCTCTCCCGGCGTTTCTCTCCGCCCAACAACCCCTCGCTTTCGATCCCAACACGCCGCGACGCCTTTCGACTTCAAACACTGACGCCTCACATCTCCACCCCGACGTCGCTGTGAACGACGGAACGACGACCCTCAGAGGCGCGGGCGTGCTCCCCGCGTCGGAGGACCGATACGAGTCCTCGCGCGCGGGCGGCGGCGGCGCGTGGGACGGGGGCACGGGACGCGGGACGGGCACGCAGCCGGGGCTGGAGGACGAGAGCGCGGGTCCGTGCGAGCGGCTCGCGGAGTCTAAGGCGTGCGGCGAGGCCTCGGTCGCGAACGTCGGCACGCGGACGCTGCGCCGGAGCTTGTCGGGGGTGGCGTCGAATCCGTCGAGGGCGCTCGTGGGGGTGGCGGGGCACGGGAGGCACGTCGAGCTGGTGTTTCGGTACGACCGACAGGCGGTGCGCGGGCCGGACGCGGTGGGGTTGATGGTTCGGATGCCGGTCGAGGAGGACGACGAGCTCGAGCGGTGGGAGGAGGACAGCGATTAGAGAGAGAGAGGACGGGGATGGAGTAGCGCGCATGCATCGAACACGTAGAGGACGACAGCTGGAGCGAGCGGAGGGGAAAAAATGAACTTCTGTTCGCGAGACGAAACCTGACCCGCGTTTCGATCAGATCGATCGACGCGTCGCGCCCACCCTCCGCCCGCGCTTCTTCTCGCGATGTCCTGGCTCGGGACGTGGCTCGGCGTCGTGAACGACGTCATGCTCCAGCGCCCGCACACGTGGCACCTGTACGCCGACCCCAAGCGCGCGTGCAAGTGGTCCGCCGTGGAAGGGAAGACGTTCGTCGTGACCGGCCCGACGTCCGGGATCGGGACGACGACCGCGGAGACGCTCGCGCTCCTCGGCGCGAAGGTGATCTTAGCGTGCAGGACCGTGTCCAGGGGCGAGGAGCTCGTGAAGGCGTTCGAAGCGAGGGAGAAGAAAGAGAAAGGGAAGTACGGCAGAGGCGTGAAGTGCGAGGTGATGCATCTCGATCTGGACTCGCTCGATTCCGTCCGCGCGTTCGCGAGCGCGCTCAACGCGCGAGAGATTCCGATTCACTGCCTGATCAACAACGCCGGGGTGTTCGACATGTCCGGCGCGCATCGCTTCACGTCCGACGGGCACGAGCAGCACTACGGCACCAACTACCTCGCCCCCGCGCTTCTGTCGCTCCTCCTCCTGCCGTCGCTCAAGCGCGCGGGCGCGAGCTTGCGGGAGTTCGACGAGGCGTTTTCGTACACGTCCTACGGGAGAAGCCACGACAGCGGGCCCGCGAGGATCGTGTTTGTGTGCAGCAAACTCCACGAGTTTTCCCACGGCGTGGATCTCGAGGACGCGAACTTCGTGAACAGGAAGTACGGCGCGCGCGCGGCGTACGCGCAGAGCAAGCTCGCGGAGCTTCTGTTCGTTCGCGAGCTCGAACGGCGGCTGGGCGTGAACGACGACGGCGTCGACGTCAACACGGGGGAGAAGGCGCTGGTGCGGTCGCTCGCGGTGCACCCGGGGAATATCATAACCGGCGTCGTTCGGACGTTACCTAAGTTTGTGCAGGTCGCGTATAAGATCATAATGAGTAACTTTTTGCTCACGCCCGCGGAAGGCGCGCGGGCGACGCTGTGGGCGGCGACGAGGGACGAGGCGCTCGTTGACGACTACGGAGCGTCGACGGGGATCGCTCCGTACTTCACGTCCGACTGTCGCGCGAGGCCGCCGTCGAAGCACGCGAGGGACGACGACGCCGCGGCGGCGCTGTGGGCGAAGACGTTGGAGACGCTCGATTTGCCCGCGGATTTTGATCCGAAGTCGATCGGCGCGAGGGAGGAGAAACTCGCGAAGAAGCAAGCCGCGGCGGCGGCGAAGTTAAAGGCGCGACAGGTGAGGGGTTCATGAAGTTGGATCGTTTCTCTGTTATAATACGTAGGGACTTACACTATTCAAAGTAACGCTCGCGTCCCATACGTTCACACGCAACGCAACGCACGCTCCTCATCACACCGCCATCTTCATCTCGATCTTCGGGTGCGGGTCGTACCCCTCGATCGTGAAGTCGCTGAACTCGAACGAGTCGATGTCCGTCTTCGCCGGATTGATCTTCAACGTCGGGAACGGCCGCGGCTCGCACAGCAGCTGCTTCTTGAGCGGCTCCACGTGGTTGCTGTACACGTGCGTGTCGCCCATGACGTGCACGAAATCCCCGGGCTTTAACCCGCACACCTGCGCGATCATGCACGTCAAGAGCGAGTACGACGCGATGTTGAACGGCACGCCGAGGCCCATGTCGCACGAGCGCTGGTACATCTGACACGACAGCTCCCCGTTGGCGACGTAAAACTGGCAAAACATGTGGCACGGGGGCAGCGCCATCTCTTTCAGCGCCGCGGGGTTCCACGCGGTGAGCAGAATACGTCGGTCGTTCGGGTTGTTCTTGATCTTGTCGATCACCTCCGCGAGCTGGTCCACGCCCTTGCCGTCGTAGTTGGCGTGCATGTCCGTGTACTCCGCGCCGAAGTGTCGCCACTGGAACCCGTACACCGGCCCGAGGTCTTGCTCTTCGCGGTGGGACAGCCCGACGGAGTCGAGGTACTCGCGGCTGCCGTTGCCGTCCCAGATGTGGATGTCCTTGTCCTGGAGCTCCTTCGCGTTCGTCCTCCCGCCGACGAACCACAGAAGTTCCTCCGCGACGCCGCGCCAGAACACGCGCTTCGTGGTGAGGAGCGGGAACGACCGTCGCAAGTCGAATCGCATGGACGTTCCGAATTTCGAAATCGTCCCCGTGCCCGTGCGGTCGCCTTTCACGTTCCCAGACTCGATGATGTCCCTGATCAGATCGAGGTACTGCAGCTCCTCGTGCCTGACGCCGTTCGCGACCGCGCCGGGCGGGAGAGACACGCTCCCGGGGATGCGGAACTTCCCCGTGGCGGCGTCTTTCGCGACGTAGGACAGGAACTGAATCTTCGCGCCTTCTTTTTCGTTCACCGGGGGCGCGGACGCGTAGAGTTTGAATTTCTCCATGTCCACCGGCGGCATGTGCGTGTCGCACTTGAACGCGTCCGGGGTGTCCTTCGGCGGCGTGACTTCCGTGATGTGAACCGCCTGGCACGCGGGGGAGGCCATCGCTTCCGCGTAGACTTGCGCGCCGCCGACGACGAAGATTTTTTCGACGTTTTCCGCGTGCTCGCCGGCGCCGAGCGTCGCGAGCGCGGCTTCGAGAGAGGGCTGCAACAAAACGCTCGGCGGGAGGACGTTACTCGGCGTGCCGTTCGCCGGCGCCGCGTTCTCCGACCCGGTCGACTCCACGAGCGCGCCGGACTTCGAGAGGACGACGTTGAGGCGACCGGGGAGCGGCCGGAACTTGGCCGGGATCGACTCCCACGTCTTCCGTCCCATGATCACCGCGTTTCGCTTCCCGGGCTCCGCGACGGTCGCGGTCACGGACTTGAAGTACGCCATGTCTTTCGGGAGCCTCCACGGGAGCGCGCCGTCCAGGCCGATGCCCATGTCGCCCTTCGTCGCGGCGACGACGACCTGGAACGGCCGCGTCGTGGGAGCGCTCGCGTCGCTCATCGTGGTGCGCGCGCGCGCGGTATCAGGTCTGAAGCCTCCGTCGGCGACGTCGCCCGACGACGTCGCGGTCGCGCGATGCGTGCCGCCTCTGGGTCGCGCGCGAGGACACGGACGCGCGTTCGAGGACGAGAGAACCTTCGAGGGAACCGTCGAAGGCCAGACGCTCAGGGTGCGGCGGACGAGCGCGAGCGCGTGCGAGCCCGCTCGAGCGATCGTCTTCGGAGCGGTGCCCACACGTGCGCGCGCGGAGTTTTCTTTCCGTGCGCTGCGACGCGCGCGTGCGGCGACGCGCGCGGGGAGTGCGCGAGCGCGGGAGAAGCGAGGAACGAGACTGAAAGTCTCGACGCGTCGCTCGACGTGTGGCGCGCGTGTGTGATACGCGCGACGCTCGTTGTGGCGAGGCGCGGAAGACGTCCGCAGTTCAAAATCGTTTGAAAACCGCCCGCGGGCAGTGATGAGCAGAGAAACAGAACTGCGCCCCCGCGCGGCGCCGAAAGCGCGGGTTTGGGATTCCGATCGACGTCCGAGGGCTTCCGCGCGCGTCGCCGCGCGCGTCCGTCACAGCCGAACGCGCGCGTCGAGAGCACGTCCGCCTCGCGTCGCACGTTCTACACCCCGTCACGAACGCGCGCGCGCGTCGGGACCGTCGCGCCGCTCGCCGTTCGCGCGCCGCGAACGCGCGTCGAATCATCAGATCAGCGGGCGGGTCGATTCGTCGTTAGGGTTCCCTTCTCGGCGATCTTTCTCGCCCCGATCGCGCGTCGGCTCCGGCTCCGCGAGCCTCTCAGCGAACCTCGACGCGATTGATCGCGCGCGCGGGGCGAGCGGGGCGAGATGCTGAAGCAGGCGCCGCCGAGCCTCGGCCCCCCGGGGGCGCCGCTCCGACCGGGGCTCCCGCCCCCGCCCGGAGCGTTCGTCCCCGGAATGCGCCCGCCAGGGATGCCCGGGATGATGCCCGGGATGATGCCCGGGTACGGGATGCCCCCCGGGATGCCCCCCGGGATGATGCGACCCCCAGGAATGGGGATGGGGATGGGACTCCGACCGATGGGTCCCCCCGGGGCGATGATGGGCATGCGCGCCGCCCCGGGGGGCGCGGCGGGCGCGCACCAGACGGGCCTCACGCCGTCGCTTCTCGCGTTGTTCGTCCCGCGGCCGCCGGTGGAGTACATGCCCGCGCCGGCGAAACCGAAGAAGACGCAGCCGATGACCGGCGTCGCGGCGTACGTGGATAAGTTTACGGACCCCGCGGACGATCCGCCGCCGGCGCCGAAGGAGAAGAAGGAGACGAAGGAGGAGAAGAAGCTGAGACGGCGGATGGCGGCGGAGGAGAGAAACGCGCGCGCGTTGGAAGAGGCTATCGAAAAGTGGGACCCGAAAGAAGACCCGAAAGCGAAGGACTCGGACCCGTACAAGACGTTGTTCGTGGGGAGGCTCTCGTACGACGTCGACGAGAGCAAGCTGCGGCGCGAGTTTGAGCAGTGGGGCCCGGTGAAGAGCGTCAGGGTCGTCGAGGACGTCGAAACGGGGAAGCCGCGCGGGTACGCGTTTATCGAGTACAACCGCGAGAGCGACATGAAGACGGCGTATAAACAAGCGGACGGGCGGCGGATCGAGAACAAGCGCGTCGTCGTCGACGCGGAGCGTGGGCGGACGGTGCCGGACTGGAAGCCGCGGCGGTTAGGCGGCGGGTTAGGGCGCACAAGGAAGGGCGCGAAGCACGAAAACTCGCTCGTCTCCGGTCGAGACCAAGCGTATCACTCCCGAGACCGCCCGTCCGAGGGGGACGGATACCGCGGCGGCGGGGACGACCGACGCGGCGGCGGGTACGCGCCACCGGGATACGACGAGCGCGGGAGGGACCATCCCCGGGGATACGACGACCGCGGGAGAAGGGACGACCGCGGGAGGGGAGGACGCGACTCTAGGCGCGGCGGGTACGACGATCGCGGCCGCGACCGCGATCGCAGCCGCGACCGCGCGCCGCGCGATCGCAGCCGAGACCGAGACAGGGACCGCAGCAGGGACCGCGACCGCGACCGCGACTCGCGACGGATGGACCGCGACCGCGACTCGCGACGGTCGGACCGCGACCGCGACCGCGACCGCGACCGGAAGCGGAGCCGGAGCCGGAGCAGAGACGACCGCGACGGTGGTGGGCGGAGGCGACGCGATAGCGGGGGGTTCGGCGCGCCGCCGCCGCCGCCGCCGCCCCCGGCGGAGGACGGGGAGATGGAGGAGGGCGAACTCTGATCGAGCCGCGCGGAAGCGCGCGATGCTAATATACGAATACACGATGCCGCGCGCGCCTCGCTCGCTTCGCCCGCCTTTCTACAGTATATACCTCGCGTCGCCCCGCGCTCCCGTCCCGCCTCGCGCTCGTCACACTAACAACGCCGCCGCGGGCGCGGCCATCGTCATGATGATCGGCAGCGCCGCCTGCAGCGGCCCCGCGATCTTCACCAACGCCGCGAGCGGCCCCGCGCCCGGGATGCCGATGAACGCGAGGACCGTCAGCACGCCGATCACCGCCTTCGGGTTGTTCTTGAGAAACTCCCCGGTCGGGCTCTTGAAGAACTCCTGCACGGCGGGCTCCGCCTTCGCGAGCGCAGCCTTGAGCTTCGGCTTGAGCTCCACCGCTTTCTTCTTCGTGTATTCCTTCGCCTCCGCCTGCGCGCGCGGAGAGGACGAGGTTTTGGCTCGGAGGTCAGGCGGGGGCGGGGGCGACGAGGGACGCGCGAGCCGAGACGGGAAGCGAGCGACGTGGACTTCGATTTCGCGACGAGGCTGCGCGCGTTCGCACCGCTTCTTCCTTCGCCTTCTTCAGCAGCGCCTCGGAGCCGGACGCGACCTTCGCTTTTATGGATTTGACCTTCTCCATCGCGACGCGGTCGTCGCGCGGGCGGCTCTGCGGGCGGTTCCCGCGAGGCGACGCGTACGTTCCAGGTGGCATCTATTTCATGTTCGTCCGTCCAGCCCGAGGTCGGTTTCGAAAGCACTGGAGCGCGTCGAGGGGTCCGTTCGGCGGCTGAAAGTTCCGTTGAACGAGGGTTCTTGAAAGCGCCCCGTTCGTCGCCCGACGCCATTCTTCCCGCGCGGCGTCCTAAACGCACGCCACAAGTCAAATCAAACACCATGTCCGACTCCGCTAAGCTCGCTCCTCTCTTCGCCCAGATCGGCGAAGCGTGCATCGAGATCTCCAAGGTCTTCGCCGGCGGCGTCGTCCTCGGCAAGCGCGGCGCGAGCGGCGAGCTCGTGGACGACAACGGGAAGCCGATCAAGAAGAAGAAGGAGAAGCGCGCGCCGCGAGCGCCGACCGCGTTCAACCTCTTCATGAAGAAGGCGGTCGCGGAAGTGAAGGCCGAGACCCCGGGCATGAACCCCAAGGAAATCTTCGCGAAGTGCGCGGCGAAGTGGAAGACGTCCCCGGAGAACCCGAAGAGCGGGTTGGGGTCGCTCGGCGCCGCGAAAAAGATGACCCCCGGCAAGAAGCCAGTGAAGAAGTAAGCTCTTCTCCGAGCGTGGGGCCGCGATGAACGACATCCGGGCGAGGATCAGCCGATGTCTATGACTGTGTAATCTAGAAGGCAACGTGCGACGACGCGAGACGAGCGCGCGGCAGGGCGTGACGAGAGTGGAGACGAGCAGAAGCGCGCGCACGGCGCGCAACGCGCTTTGAATTGTTACATTTTTGAAATGCCATTCGAGCCGTCGTCGCCGCGCGCGCGTCGAAGATCGACGCGCGCCTCGCGTTCGCTCCGCTACCGCGCGCGGATAGTTCGTCTTCGCCACGCCGCGCGTCGCGCGGCGATTCCATCGCCCGCGCGTTCGCCGACGCCGTCGCCAGATCCTCGAAACCCTCAACCCTCGTAGCTTTCCCCTTTCAACGGATTTTTTAAACCCTTGCCGAAGATTTTTTGATCGATTTCTCGCCGCGACCGACGACCGCTGCGGTTCTGTTCCCCTCCAGCGCACCAGCCAGACAGCCAGACAGCCGTCCCCGCCTCGCGTCGGCCACTGCGGCGCGCGCGCGCGCGATGTCGGAACGAAAGTCCACGCGCGTGAAGACCGTGGCCAAGGCGCTCAAGCGCGTGGACGAGGACACGCGCAGACAGGTGAGAGCGCCGCGCGATCGCGTCGACCCGCCCTCGACGCGCGCGCGCCGCGTCGCGTGCCCGCGCGTCGTCGATCGCGCGGAACCCTTCTTTTCCGCCCTCGTCGACTCGTCCCCGATCGATCGTTCGATCCGTCTTCGCCCTCCTCCTGACGTCCCTCCCCTCCGCGCGCGCAGGTCGCCGCGGCTCGGCTCGACGCGCTCGAGAACGACAACGCGGACGCGGAGGACGGCGCCGGCAGCGACAGCGAGTACGAACTCGAGGAGGCGGACGCGGTGGGCGTCGTCCTGAAGAAAAAGGGAAGCAAAGGGGGGCTCGCGTCGTCCGCGGGGAAGCGAAAGACGCGCGGCGCCGCGCAAGCGAAGCGAGGGCCGCGGTCGTTCGCCGGCGCGCTCGACGTCGCGATGTTAGACCGCGTGCCGGCGTCGATACCGACGTATCTCACCGCCGCCGCGGCGCCGGGGAGGACGTCCGCGCCGAGGAAGTTTTGCAGCGTGTGCGGGTTCGTGTCCAAGTACAGCTGCGCGCGGTGCGGGATGAAGTTTTGCGGGAAGAAGTGCAACGCCGTGCACGCGGAGACGCGGTGTCTGAAGTTCACGGTCGGTTAGCGTAGTAGTGGTAGCTCTTTAGGCGTTGGAACGGACGCGCCCGCGGCGTTTCGGTCGATCGTTCGATCGGTCGAACGTCGTCGTCGGCGCGGTTTTTTTCCACTCTCCTCGTTTCCCAGCTCCGAGCGCGCGCGAGCGTTCGGCGTAACGCTTCGTCTCCCGCCCGGCGAGATGACAGTGTCCGTCGCGCGCGCGCGCTGCGACCGCACGCGGGACGAGACGCGATGCAGTGCCTCATGGATCCCGCCATGGCGCGCGCTTCGCTCGATCCTTTCGCCTCCGCGCGCGCTTCCTCCCTCCCTCGCGCGTCGCGTCGCGTCGCGTCGCGTCGCGCGCGACGACGCGCGTCCGTCGCTCGTCCTCCTGCGTCCGTCATTTGCCGTCCGTCGCGCGCGTCGTCCGACTGACGTCGTCGTCGTCCGTCTCCCCGCTCCGTGCAGGTCGGCCTCCCGGACGACGAGCTCTTCCGCCGCGTGCGCGTCCACCGCGGCGTGTACGGCAAGTGGGAGGACACCGCGCCGAAGGGACACACGCTGTTCCACCTCACCCCCGCGCAGTTCTTCCAAGGCCAGCTCCCCATCGGACGCGGGCAGGACGCGTACGTCTCGGAAGATTTCCATCACGTCGGCGCCGTCGAGGCGTTCATGAACCCCGACGACCTCCTCGCGCACGCGAACGCGCACTACGCGGAGCGCGCGGGATACTTCTACGTCCTGCAGATCGACACGAGCGCGTTGACCGATATCAGCGAGAACGGCGGCGAGGAGGCGTATTCGATGGACGACGGCGACGAGCACGGCGGCGCCAGGTGCGTGTCCATCAAAGGGGTCGTCAACGCGGAGGCGATCCAGAGAATATACGTCGCCGCGCGGGAGCGCGAGACGCATCGGGCGGGGAAGTTCACGGACGTGTCGCCGCCGACGGGGCGGCAGATGCCGAAGATTCCGAAGAAGGAGTGAGGGATTCGCGCGGGAGACGGGCGGGCGGGCGGAGTTTCGTCGGCGTCGGTTTTTCCCGTCGGCTAGCGCGCTTGGCTGGGTCGGGGTAAATCTGATCGCGCCGCGAGCCTGAAGCACGGCACCCTTGCCTGGATTTGATAGGAACAACTCAGCAACGACCGTTTAATTTTGGCTCGATGCACGCGACGCGTAACAATCGTTCGGTCGCGGAAAGGTCGCGCGCGCGTCCCCGCCGCACTCTCGCGCGCGCACGCACTCGCGCCCTCCGCACGCGCGCACGCACGCGACAGACGCGAGTCTTCACGGAATCCACCTCGCCAGCGCGGTATCGCACGGTGCGCGCGCGCGCGTCCGAGTCCGCGGACATCTTATCTCGAAACAGACACGCGCGCACCATCTTCCTCGTCTAGTCACGCTCTCGACGCGTCGCGAGGATCTCGTCGCGCGCGCGCCGTCGCGTTCCCCGACCTGACCGACCCCGCGCGTCGCGCGTTCACGCCCCACGCAGGCGCCGTCAGTCACGATGTCGTCCGGGGTCGCCGGCGCGATGCGCGGCACGCCGATGAGCGCGCGCCCGCTCGCGCGCTCGCCGAGCGCGCTGTCGCGAAAACAACGCCATCACGCGGGCGCGGCGCGTCGCGCCGCGCCGCGCGCGGCGATCCAAGACAACACCCCGCCAGCAGGCGTGACGTCCGCCGACGCGGACGCGGAGTACTGCGACCCGATGACGCAGGAGTGCCCGCAGGTTCCGCGGCAGGTGGTGAACGGGCAAGATCTCCCCATCTTCGAGGACGTCTCCACCGCGCACTTCCGAATTCGCTCCGGCGTCGTGCGCTCGCGCTGCACCAAGTCCAAGTCCCTCAGCGCGATCACGGGGATGAACATCCTCATCAAGCACGAGTGGGAGCAAGCGACCGGGTCGTTCAAAGAGCGCGGCGCGAGGAACGCTCTGCTCGCGCTCGACGAGGCGCAGAGGGCGAGAGGCGTCGTCGCCGCGAGCGCCGGCAATCACGCGCTCGCGTTGGCGTATCACGGGAAGGATCTCGGCATTCCGGTGACCGTGCTCATGCCCTCCATCGCGCCTCTCACGAAGATTTCGAAGTGTCGCGCGTTGGGCGCGAACGTCATCTTAGAGGGCGACTCCATCGCGGACGCCGCGCTCGCGGCGAAGCGATTCGTGGAGAACCAAGGGATGAAGTACATCAACGGGTTCGACGACTTCAACATCATCGCCGGCGCCGGGAGCGTCGGCCTCGAGATTCTCGAGGACATCAAAGACGTGGACGCGATCGTCGTCCCCGTCGGCGGCGGCGGGCTCATCGCCGGCGTCGCGCTCGCGGTGAAGACGATCAACCCGAACGTCATGGTCATCGGCGTCGAACCGGATCGGTGCCCCTCGATGGCGGCGGCGTTCGCCGCGGGTAAGGTGGTCAAGTTCGACATGCCCGGCCCGACGCTCGCGGACGGCCTAGCGGTTCCCACCGTGGGCCCGCGGTCGTTCGAGGTGTGCCGCCCGCGCGTCGACAAGCTCGTCACCGTCAGCGAGAGGGACATCTCCGTCGGGTTGTTGAGGCTCGTGGAGTGCGAGAAGCTCGTGCAAGAGGGCGCGGGCGCCGCGGGTATGGCCGCGTGTCTCGCGGGGAAGCTTCCGGAGCTCGAAGGGAAGACCGTCGTCGTCCTGTTGTGCGGCGGGAACATCGACACGAACACGCTCGGGAACACGCTCGAGCGCGGACTCGTGAACGACGGCCGCCTGTGTCGGTTTTCCGTCGTCGTTCCGGACCGCCCGGGCGGGATCGCCGGCCTCACCGCGGTCATCGCGGAGGTCGGCGCGTCAATCAAACAAATCAACCACGAGAGAGCTTGGCTTCAGGAGGACTCGCACAGCGTCCAAGTCGACGTGACGTGCGAGCTGACCGGCATCGCGATGGCGGACACGCTCTACGAAGAACTCTCCGCGAGGTACAAGGTTGACTTCACGCGGCCGAAGAGCGCGCTGACGAACACCGCGGCGGCGCCGATGTCGTCTCCGATTTCGTTTCCGACCTCCGCCAACGCCGCCGACGTCGCGAAGCCGAGCTCTGGGCCGCAGAGGCTCCCCGCGCCGGTGTTGTACGACTACGACACGATCGTGAACAACGTCAAGCCCGCGAGGGCGTTGGTCGAAGCCGTCGAGGCCGCGTTCGCGGAGCTCGCGAAAGGGAAAGTCGATGTCCCGCTCCCGATGCACATCGGGATCGCGGAAACCGCCGCCGCCGGCCCCGGGGACTGCCACATCAAGGGCGGATACATCGAAGGCGCGCCGACGTGGACGGTAAAGCTCGCGTGCGTGAGCTTCTACAAGAACGTCGAGAAAGGCCTTCCCGCGGGCAGCGGCGTGTTCGTCGTCTGCGACGCCACGAACGGCGGCCCGAAGGCGGTCCTTCACGAGAACCGCTACCTCACGGACATGCGCACGGGCGCGGCGGGCGCCGTGTGCGTCAAGCATCTCGCCCCCGACGCCAAGTCCGTCGCGTTCATCGGCACGGGCGTCATCGCCGAGGCGATGGCGAAAGCCACGGCGACCGTGCACGGGTTCGAAGAAGCGTTCGCGTACGCGCGCTCGCCGCAGAAGAGCAGCAGCTTCTGCAAGAAGATGACGAAGGAGCTCGGGTACCCGTTTTACGCGTGCGCGACGGCTGAGGACGCGGTGCGAAACGCGGACGTCGTCTTCACGCAAACCCCCGGCGGGGAGTGGGTCCTCGAAGAGCAGTGGCTCCGACCGCACGCGACGATCATCGCGTCCGGGTCCGATCAGCCCACGAAGAACGAGATCCCGCCGGAGATTTTGATGAACGCCAAGGTTGTCACGGACATCACCGCGCAGTGCAGCCGCGTCGGCGAGCTTCGATCCGCGATCGAAGCCGGGCTCATGACCGAGGCGAACGTCCACGCGGAGATTGGTCAGATCATCTCCGGCGAGCGCGAAGGCCGCGTCGGGAACGAGAGGATCGTGTGCGACCTCACCGGCACGGGCGCGCAAGACGCCGCGATCGGGAGCTACGTCATGGAAGTCCTCGACGGCGTCCGCCCGGGCGAAGCCGCCAACGCGGACCCTTCGAAGCCGCGCCTGCCCGCGCCGAAACTGTACGATTACGACACGATCGTGTCGAAGGTGAAGCCGAACAAGGAGCTCACGGAGTCCGTCGAGGCCGCGTTCGCGGAGCTCGCGAAAGGGAAAGTCGACGTCCCGCTCCCGATGCACATCGGGATCGCGGAAACCGCCGCCGCCGGCCCCGGGGACTGCCACATCAAGGGCGGATACATCGAAGGCGCGCCGACGTGGACGGTAAAGCTCGCGTGCGTGAGCTTCTACAAGAACGTCGAGAAAGGCCTTCCCGCGGGCAGCGGCGTGTTCGTCGTCTGCGACGCCACGAACGGCGGCCCGAAGGCGGTCCTTCACGAGAACCGCTACCTCACGGACATGCGCACGGGCGCGGCGGGCGCCGTGTGCGTCAAGCATCTCGCGGTGAAGGGCGCCAAGTCCGTCGCGTTCATCGGCACGGGCGTCATCGCGGAGTCCATGGCGCGCTCCACGGCGACCGTGTACGGGTTCGAGCAAGGGTACGGATACTCCAGGAACATCGACAAGGCGACGGCGTTCTGCGACAAGATGCAGAAGGAGCTCGGGTACGACTTCAAAGCGTGCGACTCCGCGGAGGAGGCGGTGCGAAACGCGGACGTCGTCTTCACGCAAACTCCCGGCGGCGAGTGGGTCCTCGACCTCGCGTGGTTGAAACCGCACGCGACGATCATCGCGTCCGGGTCCGATCAGCCCACGAAGAACGAGATCCCGCCCGAGGTGATGAAGAAAGCGAAGGTCATCACGGACATCACCGCGCAGTGCGTCCGCGTCGGCGAGGTCCGAAGCGCCGTCGCCGCGGGCGTCATGAAGGAGTCGGACGTCCACGCGGAGCTCGGGGAGATCATCAACGGCAGCAAGAAGGGGCGGCAAGGGAAGGAGCTGATCGTGTGCGACCTCACGGGGACCGGCGCGCAGGACGCGGCGATCGGGAGTTACGTCATGAACGTTTTGGATTGACGAAGAGCGACGAGAGGGCGGAGCGGGTCCCTCCCGCGTTTAGCAGCGTTTGTTTCTGTTGTACACCCCAAAGACGAGTATCAGATTGAATTTTCATCCGCGCGCGATCGCCCCTCCTCGCGCGACGCACACCGAGACGCGCGCGGCACGCGCGTCGTACCGCGTCGGAGGCGGAGCAGGCGCGTCTCTTCTCGCCTTCCTCTTCTCGCCCGTCAGCCTCCTCTTTCCGCCGCGCGTCGTCGTCGCGGCGGGTTCGATTCCCCGCTCGGAGGTGATGAGTCTCTTTAGTAAAAGGTCTGAGCGTGCGTTGGCGTCCGGGCTCGCGCGCGCGAGCGTTGGCCTCGGATCGTCGTCGATGCGAACCCCCCGTCCGCGGCCGCGCGGCCGCCCGTTTCTCCGGCCCGCCCCTGCTTCCGTGGGCGCGGCGTCGCGCAAAGGCGGGCGACAGCGCCGCGCTGCGATCGTCGCGAGCCACGAAAAGCGCGCGGTGCCGTCGAAGCATACAGACGGCGCCGCAGACTCGGCTCGCGCTCATTCGTCGCGCGGTCGAGCGGGGGTGATATCGACGTCGTGAAGACGCGCCGGCGCTCGCGTGCCGCCCGGAAGTGTCGCCAACGCGCACATGACATGTAAAGGCGAAGCTGATCCGAGCGGGAATCGATCGCACCGCGTCCAATCGACGACGACGTGCCTACACAGCTGTGTCGTTCGCTCGCGTCGTCGATCGCGATCGTCCCCTCCCTCCTCCCTCCCTCCCTCCCTCTCGCGTTTCGAGTCGTCCCTCTCTCATTCTCGTCGCGTCCATCACTCCACGCGCAGGCGCGGCGGCGGCGGCGAACGTCGCGTCGTCATGGCGGGAACGACGCCGTTCCCGCCGCCGACGCCCCCCCCCGAGGAAGTCGACAACCCGCCGCCGTACAAGCCCAAGCTCGGCGGGCACGGCGTCCGGCCGTGGCATCAGACCACGGAGGAGGAGCCCGAGTCCGTGGACGAGTGGGAGCCGGGGTTTCGAGCGCTCGTGCACGCGCTGGACCGCACGTTGGACGCGGAGCAGTGGGGGCTCGCGTTCGCGCAGCTGCGCGCGGCGGCGCGGAGGAACCTCAGCTTCGTTCGCGCGAACGAGTACAACGACTTCCTCGACGTCCTCGACGACTTGTCCAGCGGGTACGCCGCCGGGATTCGGACGAAGGCGGATCACGAGCGGCTCGTGGACATCTTTCGCGAGATGATCGCGACCACGGACGCGGACCACGTGCGAAACGTGTTGGACGTCACCTTTCGCGCGAGGGCCATCGCGGAGAAGCAAAAAAATCGACAGGACCCGGTGAAGTACGCGAACGACGAGCTGGCGGACCCGCCGACGCGGGCGGAAACGCTCGCGGCGCTGCGGTTACTACGTGGCATCTGGATATGGGCGCCGCGGAGTAAAAACGACGCGGGCGAGCACGGCGCCGTGGAGGCGCTGTTGCGGTGTCTCGTCGACGGCGTCCCGGACCCTGACCCCGGGACGACCGCGGGGGCGATCGCGCGCGAGCTGAAGCGGTGGAACGACACCGGAGGGTGGGCGGGTAACGGGGGCGACGGCAAGAAGGAGGAGGACGACGACGACGAGGAGGAGGAGGAGGCAGACGGCGACGGCGACGGCGACGGCGACGGCGAGGCTTCGGAGAAGACGAAGAAGAAGAAGAAGAAGAAGAAGAAGAAAAAGAAGAGGGAGCCGCCGTTCATGATACGGTATCCGGACGGCCCTCCGAAAGACGGCGAGACCCCGAAGAACATGCAGGTCGGGTGGACGTGCGCCGACCCGAACGCAGAGTTCGGGCAGCCGTCGCAGGAAGAGATCCAGTGCGAAGCCCTCGAGGCGTTGCTCGCGCTCCTCGCGGACGGCGAGACGCGGCAACGCGATTTCGTCGCGCGCGGCGGCCTCCGCGTCGTCGCCGAGCGCCTCGTCCCGTGGCTCGCCGTCGAGGGCGGCGAGGAAGAGCCCACCGAGCTCGTGCAGCGGTGCATCGTGTTCTTGGGCGTCCTCGTCCAGCACGTGCTGCCGGGACGACGTTCCCGGAAGGACGGGACGCCGAACGACGCGGGCGCGGCGTTGGCGCGCGAGGCGGTGAGGACGTTGGAGCGGGTCATCGGCGTCGACGCAGCGGAGGAGATCCTCACCGCGGCGGAGGAGCTCTCGGACGACCCGTACGCGGCGGACGACACGTTCGAGCGCAGCGACAGCGACGACGGCGAGACCGGTCCCGGCGGCAGCCCGCGGCGGAGCCCCGCGAGGGGCCGTCGACGCGGGGAGCGCGGGGAGCGCGCGCCGTCCTGGTCGTCTCCTTTCGGCGCGGGGTCGGCGGATTTCGGCGAGGCGCTGTTTCGGGACGCGGGGGAGCTGCTGCGCGCGACGGGGGTCGAGTCGTCGCGCGTGGACGGCCTCGTGGAGTCGATGCGAGCGCGGGCGCGCGCGGTCGAGGAGGAGATGGGGAGGAGCGGGAGCGGGGAGGAAGACGACGCGCCTCCGCGAGCCGACGCGTGAACGGAACGGAGACGAGAGCGATCGATCGTTTAGTCAGCCCTTCTCGTCGATAGTCGAAGCGTCGCGAATACGCTACCCACGCTCGCCGCCCCCTACGCGCTCGACGCGACGCGGTCGCTCACGTGTCGCCTTTCTGCCGCTTCCGCATCCGCGACGTCCACAGCGTGTCGCCCAACCCCGCCTCCGCTCTCGTGAGGCTCTCCTCGCGAAACGCCGCCTTCTTCCAGATCGCCTTCAGACTCTCCGCGCGATTCTGCAGCTCGACGCGCCACAGCAGCGACCCGGACATGATGACGACGACGTCCATGAATATCTTCACCGGGGCCTCGCTCTGCCACTCCGGCCACGCTTCCACGCCAGCCTGGATGACCGCGACCATCTGCGCGGCGGCGACGCACGACGCGAGCGCGTACGACGCGAGCCGGTACCGTCGCAAGGGTTTCGACTTGCGCTCCGCCTCGATGATGGCTTGCGGGACGCCCTCGACGCCCTGCACGGACTCGAGCTTCTCTCTCGCGCCCTCGTCCGCGAGGGGGAGGCTCCGCAGCCGCTCGAACTCCCCCTGCGCGAGGCGCTGCTTCTCCGCTTCGGTCTGCGCGTCGTCGTCGTCGTCCGAGGAGGCGCGCGCGCGCGCGGACGCGCGCCGAGGAGCGCCGCGCTCGCGCGCGCTTTTCGTCGACGCGATTCCGAGGACGCGCGCGGCGTGCTCCCGCGCCGCGCGCGGGTTCGAGGCCGCCGCGACGCGCCGGCTCGCGGACACGGTCGCGCGTGCGCCCGCGCGGGCGACCGCGAACGACCGCGCCGCGGTCGTCATCCTCCGTGCGCTCGCCAGATGCGCTCGGCGAGTGTGACGACAGCGACACGTAGGTTTATGGATACACGAGGCTCGTGAAAAGCGTCTGAGCTGAGATAGTGCGATCAGCTCATAACGTTTTTCACCCATACCTCGGTTTCAACATTTGATCGCGTTCCCTTTCAAAAGGACCCTAAAACGCGCAGGCTGTCCGCCGCCTCCCGCCCCGCTATCGTCGCGCGCTACCCCGACTACTACACGTACGCGTACCCCCCGCGCAACAACTTCCTCCCGTGCGTCGCGTTCTTCACGTGCAGCGCGCCTCGCACCGGCCCGCGCCACAGCCGCGTCGCGAGCGGCCCAGGCTCGTACTCCTCCCCCGCCCTCGCGACTCTCTCCTCCCTCGGCAACCGCGCCGTCTCCTCGGGCGCGCGCACCGCGCAGTGCTCGAGACCGACGCCGCAGCACGCCGGGTTTATCCCGTAGCTGAAGTCGTTTCCGTACCTTATCCCGTCGCCTGGCTCTTGCCGAGCGTACGCCGCCATGAGCGCGCGTTCGAAGCCGCCGTCGACGGCGTCCGCGACGCGGCGCTTCAACGTCCCCGCGTGCTCCCTGTGACTCATGCCGTAGCGTTCGAACACCTCGTCCTCGGTCATCGCGTCTATGCGTCGCAGGAACGGCTCCACGCCGGGCGGGAACGCGGTGCCTACGAACCCGCCCGGGACGTGGCAGCGGTAGTCCATGAGCACCTCGGGCGCGGAGATGGGATCTATCTTCCCCGGACAATTCTTCTCCGCGCCTCCGGGGTAATTCCCGCAACACACCGCCGCGTACCCGATCCTGTACACCTCGAACTTCTGACCGCCGGGGAGGAACATCGAGTTCACCGACCCGAACGCGCCCTCGTTGTCCAACACGCGCAGCCGACCAGTCTCAGACACGAACACGTTCTGCCCGTGCCGGTCCTGCTCGCTGAAGAGCAAGTCGAACGTCGCGCACCGGAGGACGTCCTCCCGCGGCACGCTCCTCGTCACCTCCAGCGCTTTCCGCGTCATCCCGGGGGCGTAGAACGCCTCGACGGAGACCCCGTCCACGACCTCGTACAGCTGCGCGCGCGTCGCGACCTTGGACCAGGACGACGGGTCGTCCGGGGCGGTGGGAAGGAACGACCGAATCTCATCCGTCCAGGACCTCGGCGTCGCGGCGGAGAGATTGGCATCCGCCGCGAGCGCGTCGAGCGCGTTGAGAAACTTGAAGTTGCACTCGCCGTACCCGAACACGCCGCCTTTCCTCTTGCACTTCGCCATCTCCGCGTCCTTCTCCATCTCGCCGGGGGCGTCGTGGCACTCCTCCGGTATGGGATCGTTGAGCGGGGTCTGTCGGTACCCGCCCACGAGGCCGCACCACGCCTTGACGAAGACGTCGCCGCGCGTCGCCGTCACGCCGCGCATGACCGCCGCCCCGGACGCGCCGGTGAAGATCTTCACGTCCTCGCCCTTCATCCTCGTCGTCGCGTTCATCCGCGATAAGATGACGTTGCACCCCAGGCACTTCTCGCAGTGCACGAGGCCGGTCTTCGGGTCCGCCCGCGGCGCGTTCGGGTTGCGAAACGACGGCGGGGCGGGATCGAGGAGACATCGCGCGCACGTGTCGCACGTCTCGTGCGTCCCGAGCCCGACCTCGTCTTCGCGCCACTCCGCGCTCGCCGCGACGGCGGCGGGGTGCCACTCGCGGCGCGGGGAGGACGCGCGTCGGACGCGGTGCCGCGCGTCGGCGGCGGCGTTCGCGGGCGACGCGAGCGCGGAGGCAGATCTCGCGCGCGTCGCGATCGCGACGGCGAGCAGCGCGAGGGCGGCGGCGCCGGGATGGCGTCGTCGCGGCGCGCGGGGTGTCCGCGGCGCCGGCGACATCTTTCGTCGCCTCGCCTCGCCGCGCGCGCCTCGGGGAGCGCGCGCCAGTCGCCGCGCCGCGGCGCGTCGAGGAGTGGAAGTCGAGGAGCCCGCGGCGAGGCATGCTGCGTGTCGGACATCGCATCGATCCGTCGGATTTTTCGACGCGCGTCGAAGCGTCGGCCCGGCACAGAGAATGGCGCGCGTCGCGCCCCGCCCCGCGCTCCTCGCGCTCCTCGCGCTCCTCGCGTGCTTCGTCCACGCCGTCGTCGCGGTGGAGATCATCTCGGACCAGGACGAGCTCGATGCGATCATCGAAGAGGCGCGCTCTCCCCGACCCCGCCGTCGTCCGCGAGTCGATCGATCGATGGACGAATTTCCATCCCATCTCTCCCTCGCGCGCGATCTCGATTCGATCTGACGACGACCGGAACCCCCCCTCTCTCCCCTCCTCCCGACTCCACAGACCGAGGGCGATCTGCTCGCGGTCGTCGCGCGCGTGGACGACGTCTCCACGCCCGAGTACGCGATCTTCCAGGACGCGGAGAGAACGTTCGCGGCGCACGGCTTCGACGACGTGCACTTCTACGCGGAGGCGCGCGCGACGACGGAGGAGACGTACGATCCGAACGTCCGCGAGCCTCCCGAGATGTACCTGTTCCACGGCCTGAGCGACGGGAAGGTCCGCCCGCGTGTGCGCGGGAAAGCGCAAGGGCAGGCGATGCCGCTGAAGGTGGTCGGACGCGACCGGGACGGGGACGAAAGCGACGCGACCGCGGGGTCGATCCCGTGGGCGGCGTCGAACCTGACCGCCTGGATCTTCGTCAACGTGCAGCCGCACTACTTCAAGTTCCCGCCGTTCCCGGAAGAGCGCGGGTACGCGAACGAGGTCCAGCGCGCGCGCATCGCGGCCAAGAGCCAGTGGCCGAAGATCATGTTCGCGACGACGGAAGAAAACTCGGTCGACATGGACGACGCGGCCGTGGAGCGGGGGCTCCTCGCCGCGGGCGCCGCGCTTAAACGCAACGGCGCGGGCGCGTTGTTCCACCTCAACGTTCCCGAGCAGGAGCTCGTCGCGATGCTTCACATGCTCGGCGTCGGCGACGACGACGGGCGCGCTCACGCGAAGAAGAAGCTCGAGACGAAGAACCAAGTCTACTTCGCGTACTTCGACCCGGTCTCGCTGCTGTTCGGGACGGCGTTCCACGACTTGAGCGAGGACGTCGCCGCCGCGAACGCGACGGGCCTCGCCGAGAGCGTCGGCAAACGCGTCCTCTCGTTCGCGACGAAGATGGAGAGGGACGGCAAGGTGGAGACGATGGACGCGTCGTGGGCGGCGGGCGCGCGGCCGCCGTTGCGCGGCGCGGACGACCTGAAGAACGACGAGGCGTTCAAGCACAACCGCGAGAGCGTGAAGACGGCTTCCTTCGTCGGGATGATGGCGCCGTTCAAAGATCAGGTGCCGTATCCGGGCGCGATCGGCTCCCCGGAGTTTTTGAAGGTGTACGAGCCCAAGGAGAACGGTCTGTGGGTGAAGAGGAAGGAGGGCGTCAAGAAGGGGAAGAAAGCGAAGAGAGCGAAGAAGGCTGCGGCGGGGGCGGACGAGCTGTGACGCGACTCGACGCTCGAGCGACGCGAGGGTAATGTTATTTGGATCGCGAGGGTAAGTTGTTCGACGCCGCGCCCGCCCGCCTCCGCGTCAAAGACTCGACAGCCGTCTTCGCATCGCCGCGACGCGCTCCTCTATGTGACTAAACGCCGGGCGCTCGCGCGGCTCCTCGCGCCAGCACTCGAACATCAGCGACGTCAACTCGCTGGCGAGGCACTCCCCTTCGCGCATCGGAAGCCGCCGTCCCTCGACGGCGACGGCGAAGATGATCTGCATCTGGTTCGACAACCACGCCCACGGCGCTCTCCCGGTGACGCACTCCCACAACACGACGCCAAAGCTGTACACGTCGCATTTCTCGTCGCATTTATCCCCGCGGAAGAGCTCGGGGGCCATGTACGCGGGCGTGCCCGCGTCGCCTTTTCCGTTCGCGGTGGCGCCACGCGTCGTCTGCAGCATCGTGTGACCCTTCGCGCGCGCGATGCCAAAGTCCGCGACTTTCGCCCACACCCCGCGTTCGGGACCGTCCCCGCGCTCCCCTCGCGTCGTTCGATGGTCGCTCGCCGCGTCGCCGCCGCCGCGCGCGGACGTCAGGAGCACGTTGTGCGACTTCAAGTCTCGGTGCACGACCTTCTCGCGCGCGAGGTACGACATCGCCGCGGCGACGTCCGACGCGACGCGCATCGTCTCGACGAACGTCAGTCGTCGTCCTCTCCCGTCGCCGAACGCGTCGCCGTCGCCGTCGCGACACGAACCGTCGCTTCCTCCGCGACACGAACCGTCGCTTCCTCCGCCGCCGCCGCCCCCGCCGTGGCCGTGTATGCGGTCGTACAGCGACCCGCCGCGCATGAGCTCCTCGACGATGCACACCCTCGGCGGTCGCGTGCACGCGCCCAGCAGCCGAACGACGCACGGATGGCTCAGCCGCGACAACACCGCCACCTCGCGCGCGAACGTACGCAGCTCCCTCTCCGACGCGCCCGCGACCGCGTGCAGCGTCTTCACGGCGACGACTTCTGCTTCTGCTTCTGCTTCTGCTTCTGCTTCGTCGCCGCCGCCGCGCGCTCGACGCCACGACCCGCGGTGCACGGTGCCGTACGCGCCCCGGCCGAGCAACGCGCCGAGCTCGATGTCGTCGAGCTCGATCTCGTCGATCTCGCGCGGGTCCTCCTCTCTCGCGGCGGCGGACGCGTCGTCGGCGCCCGCCGTCCTCGGCCGTCCCCTGGGGGGCACCGTGGCGTAGCGCGCGCGCGGGGGGCTCGACGGCGGCGTCGCGTACGCGTCGTCGGGTCGGTCAAAGCTCAGCTTCGACGCGGTCGCGACGGTTCGCGCGCCCCCCGCGACGGTCCAGCACTGCCAGTCCGCGCCGCCGGCGAGGACGACGCCGCGCGCGTCCGCGTCCGCGGTCGCGACGCTCTGGCCGGGTAACAACAGCGTGCGTTTTCGAGCGTTACTGCGGGCATCACCGCGGGCATCACCGCCGCTCGCGCTCGCGACGACGGGCCCCACGGGTATTCGCGCTCGAACGCTCCACGCGACGGCGCCGCAGCAGCACGCGAACGCGCCCGCGCACGCGAGAATGACAGCCGCGAACGAGCTCTCGTCGTTCATCCGCTTCCATCCGTCCCACCACGCGTTGTCTCCCTCGCCATCTCCCTCGGTCTTCTCCGTCGAAGAAGGGAGCGGCGTCGAAGGGAGCGGCGGCGGCGGCGATCCGGCGGTGGACCCCACGCGAAGCGCCTCCCCGCAGCAGAACCGACGATGAAGACGCGTCGACGCCGCGGACGGACACGCCGCCGCCGCCGCCGCCGCCGCCGCCGCCGCCGCCGCCGCCGCCGCCGCGTCGACGAGCGCGACGCACCGCGCGCCGTTCAGCGTCACCTCCGTCGTCTCCCCCGGCTCCCACGCCGCGCCGTCGCCGCCGCCGCCGCCGTCGCTCGCGCCGTACCCCGCGAACGAGAACGTCTTGTGCCCCCCGGCGGCGGGCACGACGCCCGCGCCGAAGGCGTTGACGACGCGCGTCGGCCGCCCGCCCACGCCGCCGGGCTGCACGAGTATGCCGACGTCCGAGCTCACCGCGGTCATCCACCCGCCGTCGTCGCCGCGGCGGATGCCCTCGTTAGCGGCGAAGACCCAAGACGTCTGCCAGCTGCTCAGGTCGTTCGTCTCTCCGTGGTTCCGTATCCCGTAGTCGACGACGAAGCGATACTCGGTCGTCGTCGTCGTCGTCGTCGTCGTCGCGTCGGCGGTGGACGGCGCGGGCGCGACCGCGGTGACGTCGAGGACGCGATACTCGATCTCGAGCTCGCATCGCGCGGCGCACGCGTCGCCGCACCACATCGTGCCGTTCCTCGCGGTCGCGCACGCGAGCTCGGCGACCGAGGGCGACGGCGCGACGGACGCGACGGACGCGACGGACTCCGCCTCCGCCGCGGCGACGGCGCGCGGAGACGCGAGCGCGGCGAGGAGGCCGACGACGACGACTGCGACCGCGCGGACGTCGCGCCGACGACGCGCGCGCGCTCGCGCCATCGCGCGTCTCGTCGCGTCGCCCGGCGCGCGCGGCGCGGCGCGGTCTGGCCCGAGGCGCGCGTCGAGCACGGGAAGGGACTCGGTCGGTGGAGTTTTCGAGGCGACCTGACACGACCCGGCTTTCATCCAGTCCCGAGGGTCAACGCTCATACGAGTGTATCGATGAGCGACCGCCCGTCTCACCGATCGCCGACCGCGCGGATTTGAAAAAGGTAAGAGTCCGTTTGGAGCGACATCTCGCGCGCCCGCGGTCCTCCATCACACGCGGACGCGCCGTCGCACGCCCACGCGAGCGCCACACACCTCCGCGCGCGAAGGACGCGAACCGCGAACGGAGCGGAAGAAGCCGCGGGAAGACTCGAGTAGAGAAGAGCGAACATGGTGCAGGTGTACACGGAGCCGTTCGCGAGGCGGCACTACGCGCCGTATCTCTCGGTCGGATTCCTGTACCGGCCGCTGTGCATAAGTGCGTCCCCGTCGCGCGCACGCGACGACGCGTCCCTCGCGCGATATCGCCATCGGGACGGTCCACGCGCGTCGCGCGCGCGCGTCGTCGTCTCTCCGGAACGTTCGTCGTCGCCCTCGCGACGCGTCGTCCCCGCGGGCCGCGTCGATTTGAAAAATAAAGTCACCAACGACCCTCCCTCGCGTCGTTCGTTCTCCGTCCGCCGCGACTCGATTCCGTCGACTGACCGACCCTTCGCCCCTCATCCCTCCCTCCCCCCTCCCTCCCTCTCTCCCCTTCCCCGCCGACGCGACAGTCGTCTCGTTCGTCCTCGCGTTCACCGTCTGCCTCACCGTCGGCGGTCTGTGGGTCAAGACGCACTCGTACATCGTCCAGCCGAGCGTGCGATTCAAGTACGACGCGCTGATGATCTTCGAGACGAACCAGACGTCCAAGTACAGGGTGTGGAGCACGATGGCGTCGGTGAACCAGCTCCACGCGAAGCACCTCGCGAGCGTGGACATCAGCGCGAGCGAGCAAGACGTCAACTCGGACGGAAAGATCGATCTGATCGATATCGAGTGCGTCGTCGCCGGCCTCGCCGGCGTGAAGAAGGTGACGGCGTTGTTCGCGTTCGACTACGAACTCGCCGGGACCGTGACGATGGCGATGAACTCCATGGCGTACGTCCAAGGGTCGAGCCCGACGTCCGGGAGCGGGATGTTCGTGGACGGGTACCTGAAGCTCGAGCAGATGGACGCGATCAGGGCGGACACGAGCCGGTACGATTACAACTACTCGGTGTTTCCCTTCGCGGAGCACGGCGAGCTCGTGACGCAGATGAGGGAGGCGACCGAGCTTCAGATCGCGACGGTGATGAACGCGTACATCGCCCGGAACGAGACGACGCACTACGACTACAAGTATCCGGTGTGGATGTCCGCGGAGTCGCCGGACTTTACGTTTCAAGCGCGGATTCGAATCCCGGCGTCGCAGCAAGTGTTGTACCGCCCCGGGTTCTTAGAGCTGTGCAAATACGCGTGGGTGCAAATCTTGAGCACGTATCTCATCTTCTGGTGGCTGTTCACGAAGTTTGAGTGGGTCGTGTTCCACTTCAGGATCGTCCCCACGCGGGTCGTGTCCGACTTGCAGACGAAGTCGCACCGGTTCTGAGAAGCGAGCGACGCGCTCTCGGAGAGATCCATCCGGTCCTCTTCTTGTATATACATACACAAAGCTACACTTAAACCACGACCCAGCGCGCACGTCTCGTCGATCAAGAAAACGCCTGCTTCGCGGCGAAAATCACCACGCCCCAACCGCCGAGGATCGTGAACACGAGCTGCGAGATCGAGAGCGAGAGAGGGGATGACGCGACGCGTCAGTAAAACAAATCATCATCTCGAGAGGAGAGATCGATCGACGCGGAAAATGGTCGCAACCCTAGTCCTCGATCGGGGCGGGATCGCGCGCGCGGACGACGCGACGCGACGACGACGCGAGCGGGGACCGAACGCACGTGTTCCTCCTTCCAGTTCCCGGGGTTCATCGGGTCGACCCACGGGTACGCGACCTTCGGGGGCGCGTTAGGGTCCGCTGCGATGGGTGGGGGGAGGAGGAGAGCGAATCGGGCGTCAGCGACGCGCGCGCGGACGTCGAGCGGGGTCGGCGGCTCGTTCGAGCTCGACGCGCGGCGCCGACGCGTCGGAGAGGTCCGCGGACGAATCGCGCGCGGCGCGGACGCGGGTCGCGGGCGGACGCTCCGCCGCCGCGCGCGACGCGTCGAGAAGCCAGCCTCTCTCTCGTCGCGCGGTCGTGGGAAAAAAGCTCGCGACGGGCGCGTCGGGGCACGCACACGCCATCCCGCGCGTCTGCCGCGCGATGGGGCCCTTGGGCATCGCGCTGACGCGGCCCAAGTGGCGCGTCAGAGGAGCGGCGGATCGGAGGATACCGGACATGGTTTCGCTCGGCGTGCGTGCGGGGCGCGCGTGACAGTGGCTCGCGCGCGCGCGCCCCTTCGGTCGACCTCGAGAGGGTCATCACTCAGGAGCCGACCCTCCAGCTGGCTCGACCTCGCGGAAACTAGTGGCGCGAAAATAATATCGCTGGCGCGCCCGCTCGGTTCATTGCAACGACGCCGTCGATCGGTCCGTCCACGCACGCGGTCGTCATGAACGCGCTCACGACCAGCGCCACGACGCTCAAGAGGTGGGGCACGCCCGTCGCGTCGTCCCGCGCGTCTCGCCCCGCCCTCTCCGCGTCTTGGCACACCGCTTTAAAATCTTCTCTGTTTTTCTTCGCGCTCCTCCTCGGCTCACCGCGCGCGGATCGTCGTGTTCGGACCCTACGCGACGCGTCGCGCTCACCGCGAAGCGCGCCTCAAGAGGCGTCGCCGTTTCCTCTCGCGCGGCGACGACGACGCCGCGCCGCGGCGCGCGTCTCTGCGTCCGCGCCGCCGCGCGCGGCGGCGGCCCGAGCGTCTACGTCGTCCAGAAAGGCGAGTCCCTCTGGTCGATCGCGCAGAAACAGAACGTGTCGTTAGAAGAGCTCCAGCGCGTGAACTACAACGCCCTCGGCGGGAAGGACGTCATCTACCCGGGGCAGCAGATCGTCGTCCCGGGCGCGGCGGCGAGGGGGCCCTCGTCGGGGGGGCGGATGCCCGCGGTCCCCGCGTTCGCGAAACCGACGCCCTCCTCCGGCGGGCGGTCGTCGTCGTACGCGCCGTCGTCGTCGTCGTCGTCGTCGACCTCGTACTCGTCGTACTCGTCGTACGCGCCGTCGAAGGCGGCGGCGCTGCCGGCGCCGAGGGCGGCGAAGAACGGCAGCCTCGTTACCGCGGGCGCGTTCTTCCTCGCGCTCGCGGTGGGGATTTACATCTTCAAACAAGACGACGTCCCGGCGACGATGCGGTTCGACGAGAGCCAGGGCGAAGGGTACGGCGACGATCAGTACTACGACGAGCAGCAGTACAATCAGCAGTACGATCAGCAGTACGATCAGGGGTACGGTCAGCAGCAGCAGGGGTACGGTCAGCAGCAGCAGCAGCAGCGAGGAGAATGGGGCGGCGCGCAGCAGCAAGGGTACGGGAGCCCCCCGGAGTGGAATCGCTGATCGCGACCGCCGCCGCCGCGACGCGATATGATGAGCATTATACGAGTTGACGAGGACGCACGTCGCGCGCGCGTTCTCGATGAAGCGCTACTTAAATTTTGTAAATACATCACTCTTTCACCTAAACACGTTATCATCACCGAGGCGCGGGCGGCGGCGGCATCATCATGCCGGGAGGCGGCGCGCCGAACCCCGGCGGCGGCGGCATCATCCCCGGCGGCGGCCCGGGCATCATCCCCATCGGCGGCGGCATCATCCCCATCGGCGGCGGCGGCATCATCCCCATCGGCGGCGGCATCATCCCCGGCGGCGGGGCCATCATCCCCGGAGGCGGCGGCATCCCCATCCCCGGCGGCCCCGGCGGCCCCGCGCCCGGCGGCGGCGCGCCCGGCCCCGGCCCCGGCCGCTGCGCCGGCCCCGCGCTGAACATGGTGTGCGGCCGGTGCGTCGCGACGCTCCGCTCCATGTTCGCCGCGAGCATGCGCTCCGCGGGCGTGCCGTGCCGCTCCCCGCGCGTGTCTTTCTTATACGCGAACGTGACGGATATCGGTCGGTTGCATAAAAACTGCCCGTTCATCGCCTCGATCGCGGCGTCCGCGGCTTCGAACGAGTCGTAGGACACGAATCCGAACCCTCGCGAGTTGCCGCTGTCGGGGTCGCGCATGATCTTCGGGGTCGTGATCACGACCCCGAACGCGCTGAAAGTGTCGTACAGCAGTTTCTCGTCGAGCTCGCTGTCGAGGTTCCCGACGAACAAGTTCGCGCCCACGTCGTTTGATTTTTTATCCTGCGACGCCTTGTTCACGCGAACCGGCTTGCCGTGGAGTTTGATCATGTTCAAAACCTTGATCGCCTGCGCGAGATCGCGGCGTGTGTCGGGCGACAGAACCGTGGGTGAGTCGTGAGGGATGGGATCCCGACGAGGCGGGCGCGCGGGCGGGCGTGCGAAGAAGAAGGAAGACGGTCGAAGTGGATTGAAGCTCGCGCGCCCCGCCCCGCCGCGCGTCGCTCAGTTGAAGAAATTCAACCATAATATCGTTTTGTGCTTCAGAGCCGAAGCGTTCAGAAGCGCGGATATTTCTTCCTCATCGCGACGCGGTCGGCGGGGACACCGCTCGAGACCAAATGCTAACGAACGACGACGACGCGAGCATCGAAACCGAACGGGGCGAGCGGCGCACGTAGTCGGCGTCTTCTTCGTTCGCGAACTCCACGAACCCGTATCCCTGGTGCGCGTTCGACACCCGGTCCTTCGGGACGTACACGTTCACGACCGGGCCGGCTTGGACGAACACCTCCCACAGAATCTCCTCCGTGCACTGTCGACGCGACGGCGGGGGTGAGATCGAGCGCGATGAGACGGAGGCGGCGACGAGAGGGAAAGGAATCGGACGGGAGGTTTCTAGGGATCGCGACGACGACGACGACGACGACGACGACGACGGATCGATCGCGCACCGCGAGGTCGAGGTTGCCGACGTAGATCGTCGCGTCCTGGTTCCGATCCTGCGCTTGCTGGCCTAAGAGGTTAGACCCCGCCGCGGACGAGATGCGGCCGCCTGTGAAGGGTGACGGGAAGGGACGGTGAGTGGACGATCGTTCGAACGATCGTTCGCGCGGGGAGGAAAAACGAGACGAGCGCGATTCTCGCGACGGGAGGAAGGATCGCGCGCGACGCGCGGCGATTCGCAGCGCGCGCGCGCACCCGCGATCCCGCTCGACATCCTGGAGACGTTCCGACTGCGGACGCGGCGCGCGGCGTGTCTCCTTCGTGTCTCCGCGTGTCCCGCGCGGTGCCACACTGCGAGCCCACTGCGAGCCCGCCCGATCTCGGCGTCGACGAGCCGTCGCGTCGTCGTCCGCGTCCGTCGGCGCCGACGCGACGCGCCTGCGAGTTTTCGCCGCCGCCGCCCCGCCGCCTCGTTCGAGCGCCGCGCGTCGCGCGCGCCGCCACTTCGTCGCGCACGGCGATACCGCGCGCGTCTCACCGCCGCGTCATCCTCGCGCCCGCCGCGCGAAGGTCGTCGTCGAGTCGACCGCGTCGCCGCGCCGCGCGCGCTCTCGCCCGCCGCCGTCGCGCGCGATGCGTCCGCTCGAGGAATCCGAGATTCAGCAGGTGTTCGAGAAGCTGTTCAAGTTCGTGGGGAAGAACCTGAAGAACATCGTCGACCGCGCGGACCAGCCGCACTGCTTCCGTCTTCACAAGAAGGTGCGCGCGGGCTCGAGCACGCGTCGCCGCGGCGCGACGCGCGACGCGCTCGTCCTCCCCAACTCGTCGCGAGGGAACGACGAAAGAAACCCCGTCGTCGTCATTCTTCGCGCTCTCGACGATCGCTCTCGCTCGCTTCCGCGATCGAACGCTCCCCCTCGCGCGACGCGACGACGACGCACGCGCGGCGATGAGGAAGAAATATCCGCGCTTCTGAACGCTTCGGCTCTGAAGCACAAAACGATATCATGGTTGAATTTCTTCAACTGAGCCGCGCCGTCGTCGCGTCCCCGGCCGTCCCCGCCGCCGACGCCGCCGGACCCGCGCCCGCCGACCCGCTGACCCGCCGCCGCGCCGCCCCTCCGCGACCCACCCGCCCTCGCAGCGCGTGTACTACGTCCGCGAGGACATCATGAAACGCGCGGTCTCCGTCGCGAGGGACCAGCTCGTGTCCCTGGGCGTGTGCGTGGGGAAGTTCACGCACAGCGATAAGTTCCGCCTGACGATCGGCGCGTTGGATCTGCTCGCGGCGCACGCGAAACACAAGGCGCGTCCCGGTCCCGGTCCCGTCTCGTCTCGTCCCGCGCGAACGAACGAACGACGGCGCCCGGTGATGTCACACGCGATATTTCAGTCTTCAACCTGAAATTCTGTGAAGAGAACGACACTCTCGACAGCAGTGCAGAGGGCGCCGTCGTCTTCTTTCTCTCTCCCCGTCGGATGGATTCTGGATCCCTCCCCCCGTCCTCCGAGCGACTGGAAGAGAAAAACGTTCTCTCGCCGAGACGCTCGCTGACGTCCGCCTCTCCCTCCCTCCCTCCCTCCTTCCTTCCGCTTTAAAATGCGCGCAGATGTGGGTGAAACCGACTTCGGAGATGAGTTTCCTGTACGGCAACCACCTCCTGAAGTCCGGATTGGGAAGGATCACGGAGAACACGCCCGCGAACCAGGGCGTGGTCGTCTACAGCATGTCCGACGTGCCTCTCGGGTTCGGCGTCGCCGCGAAGAGCACGCAGGACTGCCGCAAACTCGACGCGTCGTCCATCGTCGCGTTTCACCAGGCGGACGTGGGGGAGTACCTTCGCGCGGAGGACGACATGGTGCAGGGGAAGAAGGAGTGAGGCGAGCGACGCGCTCCGGGAGGGCGGCGCGATAGACGTAGACGTAGGAGGACGCGACCTCGCGGCGTGTGCCGTGGGAGAAGAACATCGAAACGCGCGTTCGGCAGTTTTTTTCTGTGTTGACTCGACTCGCACTCGCCCGCGCTTTTGAACGATCCGAGCGCAGTCCACGCGCGCGCACGTCGTCGTCCGCGATCGCCGGGGACGAAGCGCGCGCGCTGCGGGTCGCGACGCGACGCTCGAGCGACGCGATGGCGCCCTCGATGCACGCGCTCCCGCTCGTGATATGCAACATGGGCTGCGAGATGATGTACATCTTAGAGCAGCGCCTTCGCGCGCAGTCCATCAAACCGGACAAGGCGGTGAAGGTCCTGGACGACGTCAGCCGCGCGATGTTCGACGCCTCGTTCGTCGACGAGCTGTTCCGGCCGCAGGAGATGTACACGGAGAGCAGCCTGAAGCACGTCTTCACGAAGCTCGCGCACGCGTCGATCATGCGCCTGAGCGAGAGCAGCATGGGGAAGCTGTTCGATCTCATGACGATGGGGTTCAAGTACCAGCTCACGCAGTGCCTCACCCCGACGCAGATCGTGGACGTGACGTTGACGCACGTCGTCACCGTGCGGTCGTACTTGACCGACGAGAGCGTCATCGCGCTGTTGGACGCGTTCGAGGCGAAGTGCAGGGATGTGTACGGGAGGTTCACGGTGAACGAGTGGATCGACCTTCGCGCGGACCTGCACGACTACCTCAAAGATTACCGCGTGAAGGTGTCGCTGTTCCTTCAGGCGGGCGTGCAGAAATCCGACGGGTCGTTCTGCGTCCCGACGCCAAAGTCCCCGGACTCGCCGTACGGCGTCGGGCCGAATTGGGAGGGCGAGATGATGGCGGACCCGCCGACGTTGGGGGTGCCGCTGGGAGGGAACGCGTACTCGAAGGATAAGCAAGCGCCGCGACCGCCGGCGCCGCTGGCGTCGGCGTCGTCGTCGTACGCGGACGCCGCCGCCGCGGCGAAGGCGGCGGCGGAGGAGAAGGCGCGCGCGGCCGCCGCGGAGGAGAGGCTGCGGCGGAGCGAGACGGTCGTCAAGGGGAACGCGGACGAGATGGCGAGGAAGGCGGGGAAGGAGGGCGCGAAGGAGCTGAACCATCTCCTCGGGTTGATCCAACCGCCGAAGGTGTCGGACGATTTCAAGCTGAACCTGTTCGGCGACGGGCCGGGGTTGGGCGGCGCCGTGAGCTTCGGCGACGTCGGCGGCGGCGCGGGAGCGTCGGGGGACGCGAACTTCCTGGGGAAGGCGCGCCCGCGGTCGGACTACGTAGAAATCTCCGCGGACTCCCGGCGCGAGGCGGATAAAGCGAGCGGTCTGTCCGACGTCATGAAGTCCTTTAGCGTGAACGATAGCGGCGGCGGGGGTACACGTAAGGGCGGGAAGGCGGCGGCGGCGGCCGACGACGACGACGAGGACGACCTCTTAGCTCTCATGGACGCGGCGTGATGTTCATACTGTAGTCTCTCTCACGCTGGTGGAACGGACGGACGCCGAGGGAGACGTTCCCGCGCCGACCGACGAAACGAAACGCGCCCGCTTCGCGTCGCCTCACGCGCTCAGGTCATCGAACCATCCGCCCGCCCCGGGCCCGGGCGCGCCGCCGCCGCCGTCGTCCCGGTCCCACTCGAACGCCTCCAGCGCCGTCGTCGTCGCCGCGTCGTCTCCAGCGCGCTCCGGGTCGTACCTCCACGCGCTCTCCATGTTCGGGTGCGCGCCGAACGGCTCGGCGTTTTCGTCGTCGCGATCGCCCCACGCCGCGGCGGCGGCGGCGTCGTCCCCCGTCATTTCGCTCAACAAAAACGCCGTCGTCCAACCGTGCCAGTAGTGCGGCCCGAGGTTGTGCCCGCCTCCCGCGACGACGCCCATGAGCTTAGGGCCGGTCGCGCGCGCGAACATCGGGAACTGCGTCGTGGACCACTCCCCGGCGACGGCGTCGTCGGCGGCGACGAGCACGAGGAGCGGGACGTCCGCGCCGGAGCCTGGGCCTTCGTTCCAGCCTTGGAGCGTCACCGCAGCGTCGAACAGGCTCGACGCGCGCTTGCTCTCGTCCGGCGCCGCGAAAAGACCCCCCGCCGCGTCCCTCTCCGCGGTCTCCATCGCGCGAATCACGCGCCCGCCGCCGAGGGAGTAGCCGACCGCGGCGACGCCGCCGACGCGGCCGCGAAACCGTCCGTCCTCGTCCTCGTTCGCGCGTCTGACCCAACGCGCGACGTCCAGGACGTCGCGTTCGTCGCCCACGTACGGCTCGACGAACAGCATCGGGCACAGCGCGATGAACCCGTGCGACGCGAGGTGGGTCAACGTCTTCGCGTTGTCCGCGTGATCGCATCCGTTGTGCGCGCCGGCGAACCAGACGACTACGGGAAACTTCGCGGTCGCGCCCTCGCGCGTCGCCTCGGCGGGGTACGTCGCGCGCACGCGCGTCGCGCCGTACGCCGCGAACGCGACGGTGACGATCTCGCCGCGAGGCACCGGGCCGGGGAGGTGGTACGCGCCCGTCGTGAACGCGGGGTAGAACGTCGGCGTCTCGGTTCGTGGCGTTCGTATCGGGTCGCGCGCGCCGGGCGACGTCTCGGCGAAGCGCGGCGACGTCGTCGTCGTCGGCGTCGTCGTCGTCGGCGACGACGTCCGTCCCCGCGCGTCCTCCGCGCGCGACGCGGAAGACGTCGCGGCGGGCGGCGCGCGTCGCGGGGCCGCCGCCGCCACCGTCGCCGTCCTCGTCGCTCGCGCGGCGGCGGCGGCGGCNGCNGCGGCGCCGCGGCGCGCGCCGGCGGCCGCGGCGTCTTCCGCGTCGCGCGCGGAGGACGCGCGGCGACGGACGTCGTCGCCGACGACGACGACGCCGACGACGACGACGTCGCCGCGCTTCGCCGAGACGTCG